ATATAAGTACTGGCTTCGCCGTCGGGGGTCGTGGGTTAGATTCCCATACGGGACAACTGTGTAACCCACAGATAGTTGTTTCGCATCTGTGTGTTTGTCCACGTGAATTTTATGTTTGTAAAACGTCCTTACAACATAGGAAAATGTTATCCTGAAGTAAGGGCAATGTTTTAAAAAGAGAAAAAAAAAACGTTTCATCGTGTTTTCATCGTTGCGGTAAGATTATAAAAGTATCGTTTAATTTCGAGAAGGCAAAATAGCAGCGAATCTCACATTTTAATCGAACACAAAAATTTCACGCAACAGACAAAATAAGAGAATCGTCATGCATATTAGGGTTATGAACTTCGGTATGTACCGCCTGTGGGCAAAGATCCGACCGGTTCGGAGGAGAAATGGCAAGACCAGCAATCGTTATGTATTTATTATAAAACACGGCGGCTAATTCGTCATGTTACCGCAGTCTGCACCGGCGTTTTTCGGGAGTTACGTCGATAAGGAACAATAAAACAGTCGCGTAACAGTACTCCTAACGGGTGCCCAAACAATGGCTTGTGGGACATTTTCGCACCGCTGTAATTAACAAGCGCAATGATATGCTTAAAGAATTCTAGCGGTGCTCACGGCACCGTCTTTTTGCGTCTTTGCATATGGATCTCATACGATATGAATCACTGAAGAGACAACGCTCTAATTGTACGTCACATTGTCAATATTACTATGACACAAGCCGTGATAGTCACGTGTCCGGGCGCTCGCCCTTAATTCAATATACTCGAACAACCTGAGTTAGATCCCCGGTGCCAGCACCAATGAAATTGTTAATTTTAAGTGCCGAATTATCACGTGCTCAGCGATGAAAGAAAACATCGGGAGGAAACCTGCATGTTTTCGAAACAATAACAAAAAAATCTCGAAGATATGTGAAGTCCGCCAATCCGCAGTGAGATCGCGTGGTGGAATATGCCTAGCCTTTGACCACCAGCGGGACATATATAAGTTGTTGCTATACTTTAGTTAATTTAGATTACAAAAAAAATAATAATAATGGAATTCGAGGGAGAGCAAGCGAGTTTACCCTTGAGCGACTGATACAAACGGAACGTCGCCCTTTCTGCCCTAAAACCTAATCCATCAAATACTTGAACCAGTTCTAGAACCTATTTCTAAAACATAATATGACACTGTGTTCACGCGTTTACTATAGAAGTGAAACAGCAAATTGCCTTCATTCTCTGCGAATTCACCACATGATACCAAGAAACGTTTTGCTAATTGCCAATGTCACCCATTGGTGTTTTCTCAATTAACTCAAAAACCTGATGATGTTACATATATATATCATGTTATATATAACATCATTAGGATCTCTTCTTGAAGATCCTAGTTAACCTTTATCAGCGCATGATTATCAGAAACACTTTAGTAGGGCTCATTACCGATATAAAAATAACTGTTACAATTTAATAAGTTAGGTTAGTTATACAGACATTGAGCAGGTTGGCTCCATATACATACTGAGAAGGGATGAAGAAAAAAGATAAGCAAAACGGATGTGTATGCATTGATTTATTGATAAGAAGAGTGTCGAGGAAGGTGGGAATTCATAATCTCCATCATCCACATTTCTTAGACAGTTATGAATATATGAAGAAACAAAAAAAAGTTATATAAAGAACTATTGTTATTTTAAAAGTATTATCTATTTTTTACGAGTAGCTCGAATTAATCCTGGTGGTCTTGACAAGGATATCAGGTCTAAACTATTGCATTTTCATCGGAGCTGAACACTCAGCAACTCAATTCTCAATTTCAGCAATTCCGACAGCAGTGAAATTAACGTTGAAAGATTTTCTATATGAAAGCTTGTAAAAAAATAAGTTTCGTTGACCTCGAAATAAAACAGCCAATTTTATATTTTATTCACTAGAAAAATATTATTATCTCTTTTATCGCCTTAGTTTTTTTTATAAAAAACCGCCCCAGCAAACACTCCATCTACATTACGCATCGATGCAGGCAACAAAGCATACGATATGTGAACAGATAAAAAACCGGTCAAGTGCGATTCGGCCTCGGCCTTCGGCCTGCGACAACAGATTCCGTAACATCTAATACTCGTATATAAAATTCTCGTGTCACGGTGTTTGTAATTGAACTCCTCCGAATCGGCTTGACCGATTTTCGTGCATATCGGTCAGGGTGGAGAATCGGATAACATCTATTTTTCATCCCCCTAAATGTTAACGGAGATCCACCCCTAATTTTTATTCTATTTTTTTATATAAAATTTTTTGTTTTATTTTGTTATGATACAGCATACAAAAATACATACAACCCTAAATTTTCACCCCTCTATGCATGCAGACGTAGCCGCGGGCAGCAGCTAGTTATCTATTAAAAAGGCAAAAAAAATCATGTCTGTTGTATGAAAGCCCCACTTCAATATTTTTTATTTTTTTTTAGTTTAGTTGTTATAGCGGCAACAGAAATACATGATCTGTGAAAATTTCAACTGTCTAACTATCACAGTTCATGAGATACAGCTGAGATACAGCATGTGATGGTGACAGACGAAGAGACAGCCTTAGTAATAGGTCTCGCTTTATCCTTTGGATACGGAACCCTAAAAAGCGCATCGAAGTGCCACTAACCACAACTACCTTCGAGCAGCTGTTCAAATAAAAGGTACAGTCGCGTATTGTTATGGAAATTTAAAGCTTCCCACTAACGCAATAAAGTTTACCAGCTTCTTACTTACCGATGCCGGGGTGGTTGCAATGCGAGGATATGACTCATGCATTACTCCAACTGACATAACGTACAGTCGAATCAATACGTAGTGCGAGACAAAGATAAACTTATCACACAGCCACGAAAACCGGATTCGTGCGTTGAAAAAAAAAATGGCGCAATAACAATGTTTCCTTTTACTTTTGTTCGTTTATGTTGATTGAAATGAACAATGTAGAATGAAGGCGTTAAGATTTTCGTCGCTGTGGCTATCAGCCGTTTAGCTCAGTGGCTAGAGCGTCAGGCCGCGAATGCCGAAGACGTGGGTTCGATTCCCACAGCGGCGACAATCTTTCGTACTTTTTCTACATGTTTTAATGAAATGATCTGGTCAAGCTTCCTCAATTACTTCGAATACAACTACGTCAGACAAAAAATCGATACAGACGGACAATGTTGATTGTTTGATTTACAGCTTTAGCACAAAATTCGTATGGTTAAAGCAAAATGTTATTAAATATATTAAAATTCAATCTAATACAGATAGGTATATACATAAAATCTTTCATAGGCTAGGCGCTTATTTTCAAGAAATCAATCTTACTTTTAAGATTAAACAGATTCACCGAAAGATAAATGTTTGGCATCAAATTGCTTGACATAACCATTCAAGACGTTACGTCAACTAAATCAACCGACTAGTAAGTTGATCAAACATTACTTGGATACAACTAAACTAAGAAGCAAGAAGCAAATTTTAGAAATTTAGAAATGGGTCTAAAGGGAAGACGGTTGAGATATAAGTGAATAAATATAATTACTTAATACAGGAGAATGTCTATTTAAACATTAAGTAGGAAACAATTTCAAGAAACGAGGAAAACGTCAGGGTGCCGAGGAATGTTGCGAGCCCGCTTACCTCGAAACACTGATTCATCACGACGGGGAAGTGAGAGCCGAAGTTCGCATAAATCAATATAAACAGGAACATGAAGTTCACATTACGTACGAATGGAAGTATTCAATTTCATATACGCCTTATCGAGATTATCTTATCTGTACATAACGGCCGAACCACAGATTCCCGTACTTCATGAATAAAAACCTGAACATCTCGTAGAATTTATCTGTATCTCGATATTAACTAAAACTACCCATAAAATAGGGACATTTCTGTTAATTTTAATTTATGTTTACCTATACATTGCATTAGTCTTCTCTGATTATTCCGTTTATGAATATAGGAGCCTGTTAAAATTGTACATTTGTTAATTTCTATTATAAAAAAAAAAAATAATAATAAATATTTTCCAGAAACCACGATCACAGGCGAGATAAAGTTTAAACAAATAACAACATTCGATGTGAGGCATTCATACAATAATTTACTATCGAAAATGTTACACCAAAATTTCATCCACACCACCTCGATGTCCAACGTTCCACAACAGCGCGATTTTTAAGGCATTTCTTGCCTCGCACAACCACTCTGTGAAACCAACTGCCGCCGGCGGTCTTTCCGAACCGTTACGACCTGGGAACCTTCAAAAAGAGAGCGTACTCGTTCTTAAAAGGCCGGCAACGCATTTGTGCGCCCTCGGGTGTTGCAGGTGTTCATGGGCGGCGGTAATCACTTACCATCAGGTGAGCCTCCTGCTCGTTTGCCCCTTTTCTCCATAAAAAAAAAAAAAAAACAAAAGCCGTGCTAACATTACCTCTAGACAGTATTGACGGTTCCCACGCAAAACACAAATCCAACGAAAGTAATGAAATCAAAGGTCGATCTCAACCCAACCCAATGCTGTGTACAAAGCACGAGTGTTTAACTAGGCTGCATTGCTAGTCGGGGCTTTGGTCAAATTGGCTCTTTGATAGCCAAACAACGCTATCGGATATATACAAACAGGATGACGTAGGTGCCAGGTTTTTACAATATAGATAAAGGTAGACTTTTTTTATTAAAGTTTTAGATCAGAACGTGACAAAGATTATATATATTCTGTCAATTCAATAATATATGATGTTAAAGTGTAAAAAATAAGTCGAAGCAACTTACAATTTCCCACAACCGGTAAACTCGAAACGGAAATAGCGTATACAGTGTAATATAAAAAAATATGGAATACATTTGCAAATTAACAAATTTCATTTTAAAACGAAAGAAGACATGTCACGGGTTAATAAACAAAATAAATAAACATAAAAGGGTAAAGGAGCGAATAATCAAGTCCAAGGAAGATAGATAAAGTAGTGGAGCAAGGGCTCACCCTTGTGGACGCTCGTTAGCGCTCATTCTGTCAGCACGGCGTTTCTTGCAAGTGTTACAATTGAGGGTGGGCGCTCCGCCCTCCCATAGCCCGCTCTTCCAGAAAACCAAGCGTCCCTCAGCATCCATGAGGGCACGGCATCACAACGTACGATTGCGCAACAAGTTTCGTTACAGCACTTATAAAACGGGCACTTAAACATCTGAAATTATGTCATTTTCAAGCACTGAGACAGTGTCAGTGAACTCCCGGCTGAGCTGCTTCACGATCGACGCCTTTACAAAAGCGAAAGAAGACGACGAAAAAATCCGAAAAGGTTTGCTATTCCTCTGCTGGGACGCATGCCGTCGGGATATCGGAGACGGGGACATCCAATGCCGAAACTTTACGTAACGCGAAACAGCAACGGCCGTAAACGATCAACAAAACCGCATCGGCGGGCCGAAAATAAGCGCGCCTGTCGCGTAGGGCCGCGCCGGGCGAGACGCACGAACTAACGCAACGCCGTCTCTCAAAAGACTGCCATAAACTCTATGGCATTGGCAATGCGGGCAGCCGCCGCTTGCCCGTATCTTTCAAGTTTACGCACAAACTAAATTCCGAAAAGGATTCATATTAATAACAGTTTTGAGATTGTTCGTAGCCTCATAAAGCGCAGCATTATTACTGTTTAACTTTGATAGGAGCAATATTTTCCTTATTGGTACATACACATGTTTTACAAGGTAGAGGTGACAAAGTAATCGTAAAACACTCGAAATAAACCGTAACAAAACATTAAAATTCAACGCAACCCACCATATATACTAACTACTGACTATTGACTATTGTTAAGTTTATATTTGTTATACCTGAACAGGTTTATATATAAACAAGTAATCAATGAAAGCAAAAAGAGCAATGGAGGTCAGTATTTATAGTTGGTGTAATTTTAATCTATACCTATAAAGTACTTTCTTTCGGGACAAAAATTATTTCAAGTTCTGGCCTTTTATTTATCTATACTATGATATAATAAAGCTGAAGAATTTGTTTGTTTGTTTGTTTGAACGCGCTAATCTCTGGAAGTACCAGTTGGATTTGAAAAAATCTTTTTGCATATGATTTTTGCCCAATTCTTGAGGAAGGTTAAAGGGTATTTAACATCACGATTCGCCCTAAGGTGGGCCAGCCAGCCGAAACATCTGTATTAATATCACTATCACACGAGCTGACAACTAAACGACCGTACGAGCGGAAGTCCCAGGTCCTAATTCCTGAGTCAAGCAATGACGTATAACATAAATTTTATCAAGCCCACTAAAATGCAAACTTTCGGGCACCATGGCTGAATCTAGAACGTCTAGACTGTGCCAAAACATAACAGAAAAAGTATTCAAGCGGATTCTACAGTCAAGTGCACGGCAGTCATAGCCTCACGCCCGGCCGAGTGCCATCGAACATCGGCAGATGCTAGTTTTACAACGACCGCGTGTTGGCCCGTCTATAAATAAGCGCGTATCCCGCACCATGCGATGCACGTTGACCTTTCATTGGCACGTGCTCAATAATAATACAATAGGCCGTCTACGCGACCCGAATTGAGCCCGATTTACGAACGACGTCATCGGAAAGTGTCGCGAGTACACTTATCATTCGTCTAGACTGGGTCAAATAGAAGTTAGACTCAACGGCACGTTTCTGAGGACCGCCGAACGCAGGGTTTAAGCAGGGAATACTTATTAGGGTCCCGACGTTCATTTCTGGTTTTCTGATGTCATATTATGATGACCAACTTTTACCGAAACTGTACTAAATGGGTACTAAAGTTGTGAAACCATGGGTCCTGAATGGAAAAGATGGTGCTCCAACAGTCGAGTTCCGACTGCAACATGTACAGAAATATAACTTATTTAGATTGCACTGGCATTTCGGATATTGGTCGATAAAGAAAATATTTTGGCTTTGGATGTAATGTTCGACGTCAGGCAATAATTCATGCGTTGAATAAGACTTATTATTGTAAATAAACGTGTAAATAATCGACACCGTAGGCTTTTTGTAACTGTTTATTATTGTATTTCTATGAAAGGTTCTTCTATCAAGGTTACTAGATCTCTTTGATTAGACCCAAATTATACCGCCTCAAAAAACATATTATCTAAATTATACAAATACGAACATCGAAGCGATGTTTTTTCATCATTCATTCACTTAAACCTTTTTTTTTTCTTCTTTCTTTCTTTTCTTATTTTTTTTATTGTTTTGTAATGTACCTTGTTTATGAAATTATATTGTACTAATTTAATGTGACCTCACCGTTAACGCAACTCGCATATTGATGTTTTATACTTTCATGTACCCTCAAAGTAATATTAATGCTTTTGTCTTCCACAATGCTCCAGAGGTTAAAATTAATTATGTATCGTATGTTGTAACTTGTATTTAATTTTATGTAAACTTTGTGTGATGATGAGATTTTTTTTTTATGGGAATAGGAGGCAAACGAGCATGCGGATCACCTGGTGATAAGCGATCACCGCAGCCCATGGACATTTGCAACATCGGTTGAGTCGCAATTGCGTTGCCGGCCTTTAAGGGAGGAATAGGCTCTCTTCTTGAAGGTCCCTAAATCGTATCGGTCTGGAAATACCGCTGGCGACAACTCGTTCCACAAAGTAGTTGTGCGGAGTAGAAAGTTTCGTGAAAAACGCACTGTGGTGGAGCGCCAACCATCAATGTGGTGTCGATGGTACTTGGCGGTTTGACGAATTGTACGATAGTGAAATTCACCAGCAGGTATCAACCCAAACAATTCCTCAGAGCACTCCCCATGATATATCCGATAGAAAATGCATAGGGCTGCAAACATCCCTTCGCAAGGCCAAAGAATCGAGGTGATCGGACAGGATTTGGTCGTCGACGATTCGAGCAGCTCTTCGTTGAATGTGGTCAAATAGAAGGAGCTGGTATTTCGATGCCCCAGCCCAGAGGTGAGAACAGTATTTCATATGCGGCCGAATCTGTGATTTATAAAGCTGCAAACGATGTATCGGCAGAAAATACTGAGAATAAATTATTTAAACTAAAATGCCATGAAATTATAATAACTAGTGGTCGCCCAGTGGTCGAATTACGACCATAATTAATTATACATGGTAGTGTATGTAATGTTTTTTTATTGGTTTAATGTATTTCTTATCCATAATTTTAACATAATATTAGCATTCTACACTCCTCTATACATATAAATTATAAAGTGTGGGAAATTTCACATTCCTCTGTCCACGCAATTTTCGCATTTTTTTCCCAAACCCGTGGGTTCCGGCTAGCCCACCTGTTCTACGTCAGATGAAGCTTTAATAGTCTCGGGACTGAAAGCAAAACATCAGATAATGCAAGATACAAGACAATTTTCGCCAAAAGAAGTACCAAGTTTTTTCACCACGTATTAATATACATATAGATTAAATATATTTGACTGCGCAAACTAATATCCAGTCATATGAGAAATACAAACCCACTACGCTCAGTTCGAGGGAACCCAACGACTGTACTTTGACAAAATGTGGGTTAAGCGAAGGGTCCTATCTAGAAGTTCCTACTTATCAGTTAATAGTTAATTTGAAACTGTCGAAATTGTTGAACTAAGTTAACAGTGTAAATATTCATAAAACATATTCAATGATTCAGATTTGACCTTAGGCTTTTGATGTTAAAAAAATTATCAGTTCTAATGGTCCCACTGCACTATAATGATTTATGGATTCCTGTTTCTTTAGACAAGACGGTTACTCAGGAACGTTATAGGCGACAGAACTATAATCGTCCTTTGGATTTAATTTTATTTTTAAAAATAACAAGTTTTAAAGTATTCGGCGCGAATAAAAAACTTATCGATTTCTTAATGAATCGTGGAGCTTTAGACCATTAAGACAGTTTCGGTGGGACGATACAAAAAACTACATTAGCCATGTGTAACGATGACCCGATAACAAGCCACCTGATGAATCACGCGGCGGATGTGTTTTAGCGCTCGCTAAATCGCTACAATGTCCTGAATATTTAAAATGGCAGTCAACAAGCGGCAAACGAGGAATTCATGTGGTCCCTTTATCGCGAACTGCATTCCGTCAGACGTCACACGCGTCCGGTGGTGAGTGATGTTGCCGTACATGAGAGACGCACTAGCGTATCAGTATCAGGGATCATTATGATCCGATAGCAAGACTCATATTTGACTTTTATACATACATATTTTTAATCATGGTAGAGAGACCACTTGACGATATCGATGACCAGGATATATTACATTCTAGGTGCACAAAAATCGACATATTTCTGTTAGCGGGAAAAAATACATTTCTCTGTTGTAAAATCGTCGTACTTTTCTTAATATCTAATTTGAATTGATAGAGTAGATTGGGGGTGTTCGATCGATTTGATCATCATTGAGGTAGTTGGATCGAATAAAAATAGGACAACCGCTTTTCGGCTTCGATTAACTTCAGCTGCTTCTGTGGCTTACACTGGCAGGTTGTTACTTCGAACAGCTTCTGTGGTAGAGCCATGCAGCTTCGGCTGTTGCACGAATTGGCAGGCCTCACAAATAATCTCGCATGAAGTGGAAGTATTCACACAAAATTCTTTCTTCGCGTTTCTTCCGGTCAGCTAGGTACCTTAGCCCACTGTTTTTAATGTTGCCAACGCATCTGCAAACCCGCAGACGTTGCAGATGTCCATGGGCGGGGGATTCACTTGACATCGGGTGAACTGGCAAATACCTTGCCGTCATCGCAGAAAAAAAAACAGCGTCAGGTGGCGTCCCAAGTTATTAATCTCAATCAACCTCAATCCCAAGGCAACGTGTTGGACTCGTGCGATAATTTCGCTGTGACTTCGCGTGCGATGAATCGAAGACACACTGTCTGCGTGGCCCCCGCCTGTTGTCTTATAATACCTGGCTATTTCGGTGCTTGCCTACGCATTCCTGACGCAGGAATCTCGTATTTTTGTCCCTTAACAGCCATTCCTGACGAACCGATCGCCGTCGCGTGTGAGCTATGGGCATGTTTGTGCGGTCCGTATTTAAGTGGTGCGAAAAAACAAAACCAAGCATTGACAATCACATAGTGAAAAAATACACATAGGCATCAATGATGCTTTAATAAAGATGCACGAGTTTAAAAATGGTTCCGCTTTACATTAAATGAAATACTAGCGTAACTATGTTCGCCGGAGTGTTCGTGTCGACCTTTATGTCTGTGCAAAGTTTCATAACAATTGGGTTAAAGGTTCTCTAGTTTTAGATGAACATATATACACACATACAGTCGCTTTTATATATGACATATATAAGCGAACGTAACAGATGATTTAGAACGTATGATACGGAAAGATATGGCAATCTATAGAATTGCAATCTAATTACACCAATTGGCTTAATTGCAGTGCCACAGTTTCGGTGCGCCAGTGTTATTTCTAACTCGTATTTGTACACAATGCTATTGAGAGGTGTATAATTGAATGCCAAAAGTCCAGTGCTCGATTGTCATCCTATCAGTCGTGTTTGGACGTAAATAGTTTGGTTCATATGAACGATGCTTTCGAAAGACATTGATTGTCAGCAAGTTCATCGTAAATCCACTTGTGTGCATGTAAGATTTGCGCGCGAATAATCAAATCTCTTGGTCCGTGAGGAATGTGGACAAAAAGACGACGACGAAAGAAGTGTCTAGTCTTCCTAAATATGAGAGGGAGGCATAAAATTATGGGGGACTTCTTTGTTCTTTACTCTTATTGTTACAAGACGGAAAGCATGTAGTAAACAAAACAAACGAGTAGTTATTTCAAGTAGAAAGATTGGCCTTTCTACTAATAATACATCACGGCGATATATTTAAACTAATAGTACCGCTTTTGTAGCATCGTTGCGAATGTGATTGACCTACATACGAATTAACCGTAGGCACGCATGGATATAAATCGGTATCAAGAGCACGCTTTAATACTATAAAGTACATTATTCATAAAGCTTAGTACAGTGTAAATAATATTAAATCCGCGAAATTATTCTAGGTAGCGAGATTGTTTGTTTATATTAAGGATCGCCAATACGACAGACATTAAACACGGAGTGCTAACAATAGTACCTAATACTTATGTTGTTACACGTTCAGTTAACTGTAATAAATTCTTTAACTTTAAGACTATCACGATTGAAAGCAACGACACCATTGGCGGATTACAAATTTAACGATTACACTCTAGAGAAAAAGTAATGACATAATGCAGATGGCATACGTTAACAAATTTCAATACAACAAAGTACTCCCGAGTCAGACCATCTTGTACATCCGATGAAGGCAAATATTGGTACATAATGTTTAACATGTGTACAAAATGCGTACTGAGTTTCTTTTCCACTTCTTACCATACTTCTTTCGTATCGACTTCTGCATATTCAAGAGTAGAGACCCGATGGTGCCAAACAATCTAGCAATTAAATGAAACAGGGGAATATTGAGCCAGCAAAGAATACTATAACCCGGCGGACTTGTTTATAAACGTACGAACTCGACTCGCGATTAGGCACGTGGTTCAAACGGAAATGAAACAATTAACTTTTAACACGTAAAATTACATTAACTGTGACAATCCAGAGTTTAATCACAGTTTCATTTTAAGGGTCTTCGGCCACCACCGTGTGAAGAGGAAACAAACAAACGAAACATTAAAAACATTAGCAACCAAATGTGAGTAAAGTACCTATAAATAGCAATTTTTTGAAAAGTAATCTTTGTCGTAAGCCTAAAGCAATATAGTTATGGATTATTTTCCAAAGAGTGGGTTATGAGTTGAACTATAAAAGGTGTATATGCAACGCTTATCCGTCAGCCGTCGTAAGCCGCTAAGCGGTCCAAGCGGAGGAGCTTATGAAGCATGGGCTCTAAGCGGCGGGTCAGCCAAGATCGACGACCCAGAAACCGCGCGAATAGTGCAATCCCGCGCCCCCCGCCCCACCTCAGCGAACCCACGCGCGAGCGTATAGCGCTGGCGAAATAGACACGCCGCCGCTATAAACGACTTCTTGTATTCGGATCGCCCAGTCGATAGATCGAGTCTTACGACTCGGATGCGTGAACCCCGCGTGTAGAAGTTACCGGGGAAATTGTTTCTCGGAGATCCAAAACGACTTATGCTAACATCGGTGGGTATTTTCTTTCTCTTTCGACGTACTGTTGAAAGAGAAAGCAATTTCTCCGAGCATTAATGGTATAATAGATGCGGGCGGCTTTTAAGTCTAGTCCAGGCACCATACCAAGATTTTCAGAACATAACTTTGTGCCTTTGTATTATAATTCGAAGGGCGAGAAGCATAAGTGTCCAACATCCTAAATAAAACATGTTTTTGTTTCTGGTTACAATCTAAATGAATGGATGATTTGCAACATTAGGATATCCATTTCTTTTATAATCTTATTTAACTATTTAACTCTTACCAACTTATCTCATGGTCTATCAGATGATCTTCAAGTACCTCGAATACACTCATTGATGGCTACGTCCTTACGATTCCGTAATGAGCACGAACATTCTTCCGTATACGACCAGCGTTGTTTGATATTATGTGTTAATTGCGTCACAAACTATTACAAAAGTTGTTCAGAAGTAGGAAATTACATTTGTTTGGACCGTTAATTTTATTGATAAATATGTAATGAGATAAATTGTATGTTTGGTGTTTATTATCAGTTGTTTAATTTTGAGACCGAAAAAAAAACAAAAAAGACCCAATGCCATTAATCGTTGTTTATCTCTTATATTATTTCGTTAATATCAGGTCGTTCAGGTCGTCTGCTTTAAATACTGATATACTAAATTCAAAACAACTACTTCAAATCAAATTGACCTTTTGAATACTCTGCCAAAAGATAATATTTTATAATATACAAATCCTATGTCGGCCAATAAATCAAAATCAAACATTAAAAAACGTCATCAATAAAATAGCAAAGTTAAAATCTATACAACCCGTGAAGCAGGTTGATTTCGGAGTGAGCCGTTCGTAAAGAAGGCGTTTTATAGTTCAGACATCTGAGGGAGCGCCGGAAAAGGACTTCCGAGAAAAACTCACTGATCTCAATGCCGAATTCATCGGCGTCCTAAAAAAGACTCGTAGGTACACAGAGACAGGTTGGAAACATCGCTAGGAAACGTGCTATATTCGCCACTTATACTATATACTTAGTAATATAGGTCTATAACTACGCGTTTATTAAGTTAAGCGAAACAGTTAGACGGTTGGCCTGGGATTCATTCTCTTTAAAGCTTAACTTGTAACGAAGATACGGAGTTTCATTACTCACTATAATATATACGTTTTGTTTTTTCAGTGATAATATGGCTTAGTGGGGTAATCCGGGTTCCTAGCGCAGTCGAAAAATATTTGACGGCAGTTATATCTACATTTTTTTCGCTTTACGTATTCATCGCGTTTATTGAAAACTTTAATTCTTATTTAAAACTTAAAACTTAGTCACAGGGTCATGTAATGGTGTAGTATTTTCGGAAATGTTAGAAATTATTCAAGTGTGATTATTAAATATAAATAAACATAATATATCGGGACATATTTTTACACAACGTTATCTAATCCCGAACTAAGCAAGGCTTGTGCTTTGGGTACTAGAAAACTAGAAAAACACTATGTTCATCACACAATATTTTTCCAGTAGTTGAGATCGAACCCACACCCTCTGGTGCAAGAGACAGGGTCCCTATCAATTACGTCAATCGGGTGGTCGTTTTACCGATTTAATCTTTTTGATTACAAACATTTTAATTTAAAATGATAATTGAATTAATTACGAGTACATGGTACCTTGATAAAAAAAAAGCTAAACGTCTCTGGACTAACACAACGGCGAACGAATGTGGGGGCATCGACTGATTTTGAGGCAGCCCGCCCACTCCGAATCAGCCCGATAGGTGAGTGAACCATGGATTCAGTTATTTTCATCACACCATCTTAATAATCATCACTTCTCCGCAGTGACAGCGCATCTGACGTAAACGATGTCTATAAAACGCCGGTGATCCATCAACACAGTTACGAACAGACTGAGTGGGCTAAAGCCAGGGTTTTATTTTAGAGGCGGTAGAATTAAGGACATTTTTACTTTAACATATTTTGCATGCAGTTCACTCCTAATGAGTGATCGGTGGTTGTGCGCGAGTGATTACAAAACTAAAAGCTTTTGTTACGTTTTATTTGGTGTCAAATCCAATCGAATCATTTATTCTTCGAAGTAAGATATATACATTTCATCTATATACCACCGTTTCGTAAAAAGGTTCCTCTAACGGAGTACAAACAGGCGAAGGAAACTCCGTAGGTATCCTCAAAGACAACCCCACGCCGCCAATATTAGAAAAAACAATTATTGCAAATTTTACAAGAGATAAGGCATCTGCAAGCAGAAGTGCTATGTACAACGCGATTTTGCCAAAAGAGAAGATGTTCCACGTAAGTCGAGATATCCCAATAAAAGCGCCGGAATCAACCATGGTCCTCCATAAACATGCGTTGATCTTACTCCTCAACGAAGAAATTGATTTGACTTGAAATGATGTCGATCGAGTCGATAAGATTTCGTCGTTAGCGTGTCGTCTGTATACCGTTCATGCGCCGCGCTTGAATCTGTCAGTGGGGCGAGGCGCGCGTCTGATTCACGCGCACCCGCGCCTTATACGCGGGTGTTGACAATAAAGAACCCCTTAAGGTTATGCCACTCATGGGCGACAGTTAACAGACCAGCCCGATGCGGTGGCGAAGCGATTGACAAAACTTAGCAGCGGCAGACTCTAGGCCCACACGGCGTGGAACGCAGCCTATTTCATCTCTACTAAAAAGGCTAACAATAGCCTTTTTAGTAGAGATGAACCTTACACAACTCCATAGACTTTGGTATTCGGTATCCATTCCATCGAAACATATTGATGAAATGTATCATTCAAATAATAAAACAACATAATATATGGCTCTGTTGGTCGCGTCCTTCCATTTGATGAGGTCAAATGAAGGCATTCCAAACAGGTTCAAATTCAAAAAGTGCTCTAAAACACTAGGCTACAGTTTTATGCTTAGGCCCTTACAACAATTAAAGAACTTGATGAAATATTAATATAAAATAATTTAAGTAAAACTCGTCAACCCGTGGTTGGATAAACATCCGGAATAATCGCAATGAAATTCATTGAAAATAAGAACTTATGACACGCGGTTGTTAATGTGGTTGCGAAAATAACTTATTATGCTAAAAATTGCCTTAAAAGAGGTTCATTTGTATTGACAGTTTTTTTATGATCAACTTATCAAAAAGCAAACAAATGAAGTTAACATGTGAGCCATAGTTAACTGTTACATATTTTCCTTAATCAACCTTTAGCAACATTAAGAATTTATTTCGGAAATATAAAATCTCCATACTATAAAATCTCCATACTATAAAATCTCCATACTATAAAATCTCCATACTTGGTTTTCATATTAAGCTTAGAGCAGATAATGCATCTGAATTAGGTGTAAAAACTAATTTATGCATACTATTAAAAAAATGCGGGTTTTATTAAGATAAAAAAACGTTGTTGGACGATTCACTTTAAGCATAGTTGCCGCATTGAAAAAAAAAGAGTTGCACTACGATCGAGATTAAAATTTCCGACAACACTTCGAAACAATGGCGCTGTCAGGAATGTTTCCCGCGCGCGGGAGTTCGCGGCCATTTTGTGACCCGTTACAATAGAAAGAAATTTTCGCATTATTGTACCAGTCTAATATGTCCGTTTTTACGTTACTTGTATTGTATGAAGAAATAACTCTTCATGTCTAAGGTTGAATGGCCTTCCAGGCTTTTGTGCCAGCAAACATGTATAAAAGTAGCAACTATGGCATTTTTTAATATGTGCTAGTTTGCAATTTAATATGTGTTTAGTGTGCAGTTTAACTGATCTGATATCTGAGGAAATTTTTATTTTTATGTAATGATGATGTAGTATTAAATAATACTTAGCATTAATTTAGAAGTGGTAGAGCTAACCAACAGTCTTTGAACAACCATGAATGGCCACAGCCAACATTAATGGACGAGGTCCATGGACGGTGGTTATTACTTAATATCAGGCGAACCGTCTGCGTCCTTGCCAAATTCTCACATATAAACAAAAGTAGAAGTTATTTTATCTTAATGTTATTCAGAAATCAATATACTTTAATAATTGATAACTAAATACAATACACAAAATACTATGATACAGTATTAAGCAGTTTTAAATGTAAGCTTTTCAATATTATTGATAAGCTTACATTTAAAACTACACACTACTATAGTACTTTTAAACTTTTCCATTGCAATCACATCAACACAATCAGGTTTTTTACTAAATAAGTTTTAAAAAATCATGAACTTGCGATTGTTTAAAATAAAATAGAGACATTGTCTGTGAAAACAAACAGAAAGCAGAGACCCTTAGTCGTAGTATAATTAAATTAGGGATAAAGATATCCATAGAAAATTGAGTGTGATAATAATACACAAAAAAAAAACAATCTATTATGTAAGCTGCTTGTCATGCTTGACAAGATAATGAATGAGTATCACTTAATTCATAATTTATCATTTATTTTATATGCACGGTACACACATAACAGATTGAATGATAATTAGTTATCACAAATTATACCATGAAATAGTCTGCCCTGTAAAGTTTTTCTAAAATGCAAAATTTCTGTAACAGTTCACAAATTTGCTATGAATAAATGAATAAGTAATTACACAGTATACATTCTAGTGCACTGTTCAAACAACAGAAAACATGAATTATAAATTTGTAACAAATAACAAATTATCATTCAGGTAAATATGGCGGTTACAAATGTAATTTTAACAATTATTATTTTTTATCCTAAAATATAACAAAGGTTAATTAGCAAAGTAATTAAGCAGATTTAATATTGACCATAATATATAGAAATTAAAAAATTTACCTTTCTTTACCTATTTATTAAAAAGAAAGTTTGAATTAATTTGCCCACATTTATAAAATGTATATTTGAATTTATGAATCTCGAAATTACATTTATAATTCTTTCAACCCCATGAAACATTTACCAGTTGCTTTAAAATCTTTAAAAAATAAATTGTTCTCTTTTCCATTCTATTTTTAAACATATTTTTGACATACAAAAATAATTATATTTCTACTGTCTTTGCTTTTAAAAATTTATATTTTAGATAAGTTTTACTTTTTACAATTGCATTTTTTGCAATTTTACTTAGTCACAACTCGAATCAATAATTTCTTAAAAATAATACTATTACAGAAAAATTTTACTGTGACTTTGAAAAAAATTCTAAGGCCAAATACGGAATTTACGAAGTCAGGTGTGTATATTAAGGAAGCTTGAAGATGATAATAAAACTTGAAAAGTAGGCAACGAATTATTCTTACCTTTTTGATGAGTTTTCCGTCATTTTATATGTATCAATAGTATACGATTAAATCACATACACAAACGTCCATTATTTGTATCATAGAAAATATGCAAAGTATCAGTCCATTATCACTAACAGCCTATCAAGTCGGTGTAAAGAACATTAAATAGAAGACGATACAATACATCGCATGATTCGCGTAGGTATGTGTGTATTCGTCAAGTGTCAATCATGCTAACCACAGATGTTACTATTGCTGTCAAACATACGCATTACGTTCTGATTTTCATTAAATGCATTAAAGCTCTTAGTAATATTAATATTAAATTTGTCCCAATTAAACACATTTTAAGATAGCTCTGTACTTCAAAATCAACTTAGTGGTTTTTAAAGTAACTACAAAACTTTAATACACTATTTCGGGTAATATCTTCTTGCATTAGATTTTTATTCTTCTTATTCTCTTAGTAAATTACAAAATATAGCTCAGTTATACTATTCAATGAATTAGAATCATTATTTTTAATTACAATTTTCACATTTTCATCTAATGCAAAGCACTAATGTAATACGCAAAACGGAAAGCAATCCACAACTTTTGCCGACGTTACTATGGTAACCCTGTGATGATAACAAACGCATGGCCAATGGCCGAGTTCAAAATTCTCGTGTTTACTGTCAAGCTGTCAAGTTGTAATGAAACCGGGAAGTTTTCATTATTGATTAAACATTTGTAGTTAACTACTGATAAATGTAGTCAAGATACCCGTTAAAAAGTTCTAGTGCATTCTTATAGCAATGTTCAAGAATACTTTCCAGTCGGGATTTCTTTCAATTCTTTACAGCATAGGCAGCAAACCTCTTCAAATTTGGGATAAAAAAGTACGAAATGGGCACATAAAAAGAATTACGGATAACGATATCCAGAGCCTTGTGCTAGAAATAGTGGGGACTAATGTTAGCACTACTTACATCACATGTCCAGCAGATCCAAAGAAAACACTTGGCATTAAACTGCCATTCTTGGTTATGATCATTAAAAATTTGAAAAAGTATTTTACGTTCGAAGTGCAGGTGTGTTTAATATATATAAATTATTTAAATATTTTTGAAGACGATACCTTTCAAATATCTAACTGGAAATATCTTACAGTATTATTATTTGTAATTTAATTTAATATTTCTAGGTTTTGGATGATAAAAATGTACGACGACGATTTCGTGCTAGTAATTATCAATCAACAACCCGAGTGAAGCCTTTTATTTGTACTATGCCTATGCGGCTTGATGAGGGATGGAACCAGATTCAATTTAATCTTGCGGATTTTACTCGGAGGGCATATGGTACAAATTATGTAGAAACACTCCGAGTCCAAATACATGCTAATTGTCGAATAAGAAGAGTCTATTTCTCAGATAGATTGTATTCAGAAGATGAATTACCAGCAGAATTTAAATTATTTTTGCCTATACAAAATAAGACGAAAACTGCTGTAGCAACATAGAAATTTGTAGTTTAATGTGTAATTCTTTAGTGAAGGATACATAAGTCATTGTCTTTTTGTCAGTAATTGTTTCAACATCCTTTTGATATATATTTTGTTATTTATGTTTCCACAATTAATCTAATAAAATCTTACACTTTTTGATACATTCCTTGTTTTTATTTCATTCAATATTCTTACATTTTTACTTTAAACAAGACATTATTTAGTTCAAAGCGTTAAAAATTAATAATAGAATGTTTTTGATGATCTGGGTAATATTGTGAAAACCAAAAATAATATATGTATGAGATTCTGTACACAACTATACAGAAAAATCACTACATATTTCCAAATAGAATTTTGAAGTTATACTTCTTTATGCGCATTTGGAAAAAATATGTGTAAATTTTTTACGATGCGCACGCAAACCGACACTTTAAAAGCGACATGATGAAGTTGGTTGCAATGCGACCTCGACTCTCGTAGTCGCACTCTTCTCTTTCTTGTTCCACTTTTTTCCTGTTCGTTCCGCAACTAAACTGAAACCGTCTAGCGCTCCGGGCCTTTTTATGGTCCGTCTTTACGTTATGTTCTATGTTGAATTTCGATCGTCGTTTTAATACATTTCTTAGGGAATCGAGGCCTGAATTTCGCATAGGAGATACCCTGCTACATAAGCATGGAATCTTCTAGTGCACGGTCCAAGATTTTAGGTTACCGATTCGATATTCTCCTAAGAACTTTCACACAAAAATCATTAAAATAAAATAATCAGCTACAGCCGATAGATCTACATATATATCTACACATATCTGTACATACTTAGTTTTTATTACATACTATTATACATTACATTCTTTTTATTTAGTTTTGAATATTGTATTTACTATTTATATACTATGTCATATTTAAATAAACTTTATTGAACTTGATAATCTGTTATAAAAAAAAACCTTTAAAAGTATTAAATACATTTTTATATTGTTTTTTCTACAAACGTAAAATAAGGTGAAAGATAAAATTTTTGAAAATATTTTTATCTTGTTACGCCAAAGAAATATAACTTCTAACTAATGTATAAAAGCACACACACACACTTTTTTCAAACATAGATCTCAAAAGTGCTTTTCTAATTACTAAGACATTTTTCGAATTGATAGGACTCTTCTAGAAGCAGAATGCTTCATTATAAAAAAACGTAATAAAGGAAAAGAATATTAGAATTGAAGTCCTCAAGGAAAACGGTAAACAAGAAATTTTAACTAAATCTTCTTAAATTAGTTCAAGCTGTAATTGTTATCAAAATCCATTCAGCCGGATGTGAGTGGAGCTTTTCAGCAATGTGGAGAAATAAGGCTTGGCTGAGATATACCATGATAGAAGAGAGGTTCTTAAGCACTACTCTTGTTCATATAGAAAATAAGTACGCGGACGAATACGTTACGCCAGAAAAAGTTGTAAATATTTTTGAAGAGAAGTAACGTAAATTATAGTTGGTCTAGTTAGTTAATATTACTCCTAAGTATTAATAAAGACGATAATGAACTGTTATGTTTTTAAATTGACGCATACTGTTATTTTTTTGTAGTTAATGCTCAGGCTAACCCTAAAAATAACCCTAGGTAGTTACACCAATCGAATTTCGATCGTCTTATTAATGCTTTCCGTTATATTTATTCTAGAATGAGAACCTTTTTTTTATTAAAGTTTTCTCGTACTAATTGTTAGCTTAAATTAATATTTATAATGAAGTTATTACTTCTATTTATAATACTATGTATGGGAAATATGCAGGTTTCCTCACGATGTTTTTCTTCACTGTTGAGCACGTGATAATTCAGCATTTAAAATGTATATAACTGTAAAATGTTTATGACTAGTCTTTATGGAGAAATCTGAAGACGTTATTACTAAAATATAAATAATATTAATGTTAATTTTTGATCTTGTCTTGTCAGTTGTCACTTGTCGTTGTCGTTCTTGTCAAATGTCATCCCATACATGTCCCAATCCCCTTGCATTCGTAAAGATGGTGACGCTTTACTTTAAATGTACCAAATTATTGCTATTTATCCATTTATTTATATTTGTGTCAATAATTTCACAATGTTATTCAAATGATGTCCTTGGTTGTGGTGGATTTGTAAAAAGTCATGTTAGTTTAGATTTTTCTAAAATAGAAATCGGCCTGTAAGTTAACCTCTTTGTTTTAAATTAGATTAGAGCCCATTAATTAGATTTTGAAAATAAATAAATACATATATAGTACTGTTACAAAAAGAAATATTTGGTCTTACAAATAAAAAATACAATTTACGATTTTAGGTATACTATAGAGGGAAACTTAAAAGAAAAGACAGAATGCGCCCCGACAAATGGGTATTATTTTCTGCCGATTTACGAACGCGGGGAGTACATCATAAAAGTCCATCCTCCTGCTGGATGGAGTTTTGAGCCTTCGCAAGTGGAATTGCTAGTTGACGGTGAATCGGACCAGTGTTCTAATGGTCAAGATATAAACTTTTCTTTTAATGGCTTCGGTATTACGGGACGTGTTATTACTGCTGGTAAGACTACTGGTCCTAGTGGAATATCAGTTCAATTGGTTAATGGCAATGGTGAAGTAAGAGACACTGTCAGTGCAGTCAATGGCGATTTTCATTTCACTCCTGTTATTCCTGGAAAATATACACTGAAAGCATCACATCCAAAGTAAGTAAATGGATAAAACAACTTTCATTACCTTTCTCTATTATAAGAAAAATTCGCCCAGTACCAATGGTTGGAAGTTGTAGGGACATAAAACATTTTAATTTTGTTTATATACTTGTTTTTTTTATTTTGTTTATTTTTTTTTATGTGAAAAGTTGCCAAACGAGCAGACGGTTCACCTGATGTTAAGTGAATACCGCCGCCCATGGACATTTGCTACACCCGAGGGTTCCAGATGCGTTGACAACCTTTTGAAAATTGGACTCTGGCCACCTCACTCACCAGACGAAAGGCGAAAGTATTATACTTCCACTTTACGCCGGTCTTCTGTGAGGTCGTTGTACTTACCCGGACAAACCTGCACATTCGAGCAACAGCCGAGGCTGCTGCGTGGCCCTACCACCGTGTTTTCTTTTTATGTGAAAAGGTTGCGGTTCACCAGATGTTAAGTGATAACTGCCATCCATTGACAATGCAGCACTATGTGTTACAGTTGTCTTGCTACCTTTTAATAAAGTGGGCCCTGGCTACCTCACACACCAGATGAAATGCAGAAGTATAATACTTCCACTTCCGGTGGCCGGTGTGAGGTTGTTGTACTTGCAACAACATGGACTGTTGCATGGTCCTACCACAGTTAAAAGCAGTAACATTTAATTATACCTTTTAAAATCACCCTATTTAAATATTTAATTCCATAATTAACTTATTGTTATCTTTTCTTAAAGAAGTAATTTTTCAGATGGAAACTGGAACCATCACAAGCAGTAGTCCAGGTAAAAGAAGGTAACACTGCATTGCCAGTAGGTGTGCTTGCTGTGAAGGGATATGAAGTGTCTGGGGTCTATAACATCATTTGGGAGCACAATAAGTGGAATATATGTGGTCCTGTACTCAAAAGAGGTAAAGTTTAATGTAATTATAATATTGAGATTAAAGGTACTGGAAATGACAATTGAAAGCCGTAAACTTAGACAAGATAAAGCCAAGAAATTGACAACCTGTGACCATGTTTTGCAAAAATCAATAGGAACATTTTGTCTAAAAGCCTAATTAACTGCCAAAGGTAAAATTTCTTTTAATTGAAAAATATTGAGGCTTACATATTGCTGTATAATGGGTGACAATATATTGTTACTCAAAAAGTCATTTTTTTTTCACTATCATATTTATCCAGGTCATGTTAGTTCAGATAAACTCATACTAGAGATAATAGCACCAGTAACTGTTTGTGATAGATGCCAGTTACTTATGTAGCATTAAGTGTGTTTACTTTGTTTTTCTTTAGGAAAAACCTAAATTCCGCGTTGAAGGGTGCAATACGGCCTTGTTGCAAGGTGTACCAGACTCTCCAATATGCCATTTGATTACGGATGCAGCCGGGGAATTTAAATTTGGCCTGGTACCAGCTGGAGAATACAAGCTGCTGGCATTATCAAAGACACCAGGAAAGCCTGACATCAGCTACAATATTAAGCCTGACAGTGTACCATTTAGTGTGCGACATGACAATATTTATATAAAAAATGCTTTTGAAGTAAGTTTCTTTTTATTCATGTGATACATGGAAAATTATTAAGCCAATTTTGGCATCCTACTTTGAGAAAACACGGCCGACGTAATCACAATCTTTATCCTCCAAAAGAGAGCTAGTCAAGCAGATTATAATCTAGGCCCCTAAGAATCACTAAGAAATTAGTACAAAGGGATGAAAATTTTGACTGCTGCTTCTCAGTACATGAAAGTGTTATGTATGTCCATAAAAATAAGAAATACTATCCACAAACATTAATTAATTCTACCCTCAACTAGACTGTCTAGAATAAGTAAATTGTTTTATTTGTATTATAGCTTTAAAAAATAGTTATATATATATATATGGGGTCATTTTATATAAGATGGACATATTAACAGAGTATATGCAGAATTTGATTCTAAATCTGTATTTTCTATGTACTTATGACCTCAATATTTTTTTTCAAACATTTTTAATTTTTTCAAACACTATGGACAACCTATTAGAAATACCTGCCTTACTGTCTCAATACAATAACCTATTCACAAACACTAAAACTGTTCTCTGTCTGAAAGCATTATGGACTAAACCGTTTATAAATAGTGTAACCACTCTTAACGGTATAAACAATGTTTGTATTAATATTTTTCAGGTTATTTCTTGTCGAAATAAAATATTAATATTTTATTTGAATTATGGAATGCTCAATTAACATTATGTCAAAGTATGTACTTCATCTAAAAAATCACCATGTATAAATGGCTTTTATACAGCGTGTCGTTACCATCGCGACAATAAATGAACACACATATAGAGGATAACTTTTAAAAATTGTATTAAACATTTACATTCTTTAAACATCAATATTTACCGATTTATTAAATTTTCCAAAACAAAGAATTTTAGAACACCTTACGTATAAAAACTGTAACGTAAAGTTCAATTGTAAAGGTCACAAAGCATTTGAATGGGTTGAATGAATTTAAAAGAGACAAAACATACTGTTAGAAGGAGAGGCTTGTAATGCGAAGCTGTGGCGCTCGTTGTATAGGATGTTACAAATTTTGTTCCTTTTTTACTTAATTAGTTTGTTTGAAAAATATATTTTTTTTAATTATGGATTTTGTTTAACGTTAATATTTTTTATGATTATTGGCAAGTAGCGTTAGACGTGTGTTCATTTATTGTCGCGATGGTAACGACACGCTGTATATCAGTGCACTTGAAAATTTTTATGTGTTTTCAAGTAGATTCAAGATAGTTTACATTCACAATTCCGTCCCTACAAAATGTTTCATTTTAATTATTTCTCTAATTTATAAGTTGTTGTCGGATTTAAGACGTTTGTACAGGACGTCTGTCAAATTCCAATTACAGGTGACTGGTTTCAATATTGTGGGTTCAGTTTTGAATGCACCTGGTGGCGATGGCTTAGCAGGTGTCCGTGTTTTGTCAGACGGGACACCAATTGGTACGACCGATGCTACGGGCAAGTTCACTTTACCTGCATTGCTTCCAGGAGTCTACACACTTAGCTTTCAACACGGTGAGTCCTAATGCATGTGATTGTTATTTTTTTCAACTTCAAATGTAACAACTTATTTTTTTTACACAGCTTGGTGTCAACTTAGGATGCCTATAAATTAATAAAGTAAAAAAAAAATGTACATGTCTCACAGCTTGGCAAAGGCTTCCGGCTGAGATGGTATCAGGGCATAGTCCAACATGTGGCTCCACTGCAGATTGGCGGATTTCACATATCCTAAAAATATTTTTTTTGTTATTATTTCGAATATATGCAGTTTTCCCTCACGATGTTTTCAGAATTAACGATTTCATAATAAATATTGTTCAATTTCAAATAAAATTTCATTTTTTGTAGTTTTTTTTAAAGATGTTAGATGTTAAGCACGTTGACTGGTAGCGGATGCATATAAGCATTAAGTCTGCCCTTTATAATCACTTGCAAAAATGAATGACTACTTAAATAAGTAATTATAACTAATCATTGATATCTAAAACACTGCATGTGCATTGGCACCTTTTATTGGCAGACCCTCAGATAGTCTTACTTCCTTTAGTTGAACTGATCCATTAATGCATCAAAAGCTGAATAATTTCAGCTAATGGATTAAAAATTTTATATGTCTTCTTGTAATATCTTGTAATGATACCATGCAAAAATGAGATTTACTTTTGTGAAAATGCCCCATTGACATTTACAACACCCAAATACATATGGTTACTTAGGCTTTTTAATAGCCAACCTTTTAATAAAGTGGGCCTTGGTTACCACACTCACCAGACAAAATGCAGAAATGTAACACGTCGCGCCGGTCTTCTGTTAGGTCATGGTCGTTATCCAGGCGGACCGGCAAGAGTGAAGACCGCTGCGTGGAACAACCACGCTGCAAATGACCCTACAATTGGCAGCAGTTCGTATTGGATTTTTGTGCTGCAGTTGGTATAGGATTTTTGACTTATTTCTTACAGAGAAGTGCGAAATAGAGGATGTCGCGTTGGCGGTAGGGGCTGCGGGCGTGAGCGCCGGAGCAGCGAGGGCTGTGGCCGCCCGCTGGCGCGTGTGCGGCGCGGTGAGCCCGCCCGAGGCGAAGCCCCGTCGCGTGCTGATCGCGGCCGGGGACTCCGCCCCCCTCCACGTCACGTCCGGCGACGACGGTGAGATGCGCGATGCTCTTATTTTGTTTATTAACGTATATCTACAATGTTACACACGTCACGCTTTTTGAATTTTGTTGACTCCGTGGCGCAGTCGCCAAGGTATCAAGGTTTCAGCGTCGGCGGTCGTGGGTTGGATTCCCACTAGAGACAAAAGTTTTTGTGACTCACAGATGTATGGTCACGTGAATTTAATTTATGTAACACATCCTTATAACACAGAATAATATTATCCTAAAGTAAGGGCAATTTTGAATAGTAAAGGAAATAACTCAGTATCATCAATTGTATTATTTTATTTCTATATTAGTTTTATTTGCAAATTTGAAAACTTGCAGGCACCTGGTGTACCTTCCTAGCTCCGGGTACCTACACTGCTAAGGTTGAAGTTTCTGAACAAGAGCTGCGAGATGGACTACAGTGAGTTAATTGTGTCTACAGTCAAAAATTAAATTAAATAGGATAGAACATTATAAGAATAAATAGAAGTAAAATTGTTAACATCAAAAGTCATAGTGAAAAAGATGTATGTATTAAGAAACAATTATAGTGAATGTGATTTATTCATGATTAATTGATCATCAAAACAACGATAGAAACATTTCTATCATTGTTTTGATGATCAGTTTATTTACATTTGGAATCTGAACGCTAAGTTTCATACTGTGATGAGTCCTTTATTGTTACAAGTAAGCAAGCTTGGTATTGTTTAAATAATTAGATGCAGTTTCTAAAGGCCCAGTGAACGCTGAACAGGTGGTACCCCACAACGCAGACGGTGGCGGTGGCGGCGGGCGGCGCGGCCGAGGTGCGCTTCTCGCAGGTGCGCGCGCGAGTGCACGGGCGCGTGGCGGCCGGCGCGCCCCACGCCCACGCCCACGCCCACGCCCAATCCCACGCCCACGGCCTGCGCGTGCGGCTGCGAGCGCTCGCGCCCGACGGCGGCTACGCGCCGCGTGCCACGCCCGACCTCGTCGCGCTCACCGACGCCAGTCAGTGCCCACGCCCACGCCCACGCCCACACCAACTCCCACTCGCCGAACCTTACCCCATACCCCTGTGAATTGCCGAACGTTTCTGTCTACACTCTACACCAACGATTTCTTCCTCACCTGTGTCCGCAACGGCTCGGCTTGCGATTACTTGCCCACCAATATTCCCACGCGCTCATCTACGATCTCACTGACTTGAACACCTTTTTGTTGATACTAATGTATAAACAAAAAAACCAAAGCCTCTGCTTTTGGAGAGATTTAAGTTCTATTTGTTTATCGGAAAAGATACATAAAGTTATGCACTCATTGTTTAGCTATAGGGCTTGGGTAACGAAACGAATTGGTCTCTATAGAGGGCGAATACGAGTTCACGGACGTGGTGCCGGGCAGCGTGGAGGTGTCCGTCGAGGAGGGGCGGCTGTGCTGGGCGGAGGCGAGCCACAACGTGGCCGTGGCGGCGGACACCGCCCGCGTGCCCGACTTCCGGCAGACCGGCTTCGCGGTCTTCGTGGAGACCGACCACGACCTCGAGGTGCGCCGCGCTCTTCGCCCCCCGGGGGGCGTCGCGTCCACGCATTGCGTGCGGCTAACGCGTGGCTAACGCGTGGCCAACGCGTGGCCAACGCGTGGCTAACGCGTGGCTGCGCAGGTGGCGTACGAGTCGCGCGGCGGCCGCGGCGAGCTGCGGGCGCGCGCCGGCCGCAGCCGCCACTGCCTGCCCTCGCCGGAGCGCTACACGCTGACGCCGCGCGGCTGCCACCGCTACCGCCCGCCCACGGCGCTGGTGGACCTCACCGCCGCCGCCACCGCCGACACCGTGCCGGTAGGTGACAGACACACATTTCCATTGTTATTATCTTCTTATATATAAAATTCTCGTATCACGTGTTTGTAGTTGAACTCTTCCGAAACGGCTCGACCGATTCTCGTGAAATTTTGTGTGCATATCGGCCAGGGTGGAGAATCGGACAGCATCTATTTTTCATCCCCCTAAATGTTAACAGTGGTCCACCCCAAACGATTTTTCTATCCTACAAATAATTTATATGGCAAAATCAACGTTTGCCGGCTCAGCTAGTGTATTTATAAAATGTATCCATCCAATCTATTTAATTTATAAATTTTCAACAGATAATCGCAATCATTTCTTCACACTTTTGATCGTCATAGGTTAGACATGGTAAAACTTAGGTTGCCTTTTCGTTTTCTATGATTGTTACCTTTTCGATGAAACAAGGACATCTTTTTCCGCCAGGTATTTTGCATTTATAATAGATAACTAATTGTTATAAATACCTTTTTAATAAATACCTAAGAAATCTGTTCAGCTACAAGCTTCTGTAAAGATAGGTTAAAAATAAGTTAAACAAAATCTATAATACATACTACAGGTAACCTTTAGAATACCCTGTAAAAATAATATATTAGTAGACAAAAATGTTCAAAACCACCACGTTTACGATGCATACAAGTAATGAGTGTTTATGAATGTGTGTATTTTATAGCCCCTTGCGGAAATCAAAGGTTTTAACATGAATATTTTTTTGTGTTTTAGTCGGTGCAGTTCGAGATAGTAGCCCAAGCCGCTCTGATCCGGGTGACCTCGCCGGACCCCGTGACGGATCTGATGTTGCACGTAGAAACGGACTTCGAGGGCAGTATGGACATTGGACCTCTAACGCCTGTAGCGGACCCCAAGGAGGGCTATGTGTTTGAGCACACCTTATTTTTGGCTGAAGTGAGTATTTAATATTATATTGAATTAATAATCATTATGTATAACTATTATTAGTAATTCTGATTTTAAACTCTTTATGTCTATACTTAAGTACATACATGTAACAGCTAGAGTAAAATTCAATTAAAATATCTTATAATAATCCATATTTTTTTGTGTTGAAAAGTTGGCAAGCGAACAGGTGGTCCATCCACCTGATGTTGAGTAATTACCATAGTCCGTGGACATCTACAACACCTTACTGGGTTGCAGAGGTGTAGCCAACCATTAAAGAAACGGTTCCTGGTTACTGCAATAGCAAATTTTTGTATAGACTAGAGCCGTTTAAGCGAATATTATTGCTATTAATGTGATATGTTGCAATGGCAGGGCGAGACGGCGCTGGTGTCGGCGTCGTCGGCGACGCTGGTGCTGGGCGGGGGCGGGGGCGGGGGCGGTGGGGGCGTCGGGGGCGGGGGGCGGGTGCGGGGCGGCCACTGCGGCGCCCCCGCGGCCACGCTGCGCGCCGCCAGGGGGCTCGTGCTCGCCGGCAGGCTGCTGCCGCCCGTGGCCGGGGCCCTCGTCACGCTGCACTGCGGTATTTTCCACTGCCACTGCCACTGCCACTTGCTGACCCACTGCCATCACCAAGATCTCCCCTGTTCGCCTCAATAGTATTGGGAACGGTGTATGGCGCGGACAGTTTCGCGACTGAACACGCTCTCAGACGACTGGTTTATTTTTTATGTGACAAGGTGGCAAGCGAGCTGGCAGTTCATCTGATGTTAAGCGATAACCGCCGCCCATGGATATTTGAAACACAGGGTTGCAGATGCGTTGACACCTTTTAAGTAATCGGGGTATCTCACTCACCAGACGAAACACAGAAGTTTGACATTTCCACTTCACGCGGGTCTTCTGTGAAGTCGTGATAGTTATCCGGACGGACCTGCCCATTTGTGCAACAGTCAAAGCTGTTGCGTCTTCCTAACACAATAAAAATTCAACATACGCAATGTATAAAAACTGTTTGTAGACTAGTAATGGGAGAGAAATTTATATATTTATCTCATGCTGCCACACGATTAATCCAAATAATAATTTTATAACTCCTCAAGGTATATATAAATAGAAAAAAAGTTGAAACGTATAACATATTGTTATTGCGTCGATCGCAGACGACTGCGACCTCCAGCTGACCCAAGTGACGGAGGCGAACGGCGAGTACAAATTCGGGCCTCTGGACGCGTCGAAGCACTACACGATCGCCGCCGAGAAGGATTCGTACGTGTTCGAGGCGCCGGACGTGGAGGGCAACATCGCCGCGCACAAGCTGGCCGAGATCGCCGTCCAGCTGGTGGACGAATCCGACGGCTCCCCCCTGGAGGTAAACAATTAGCCTGCATATCCTCCTTACATTATGACAGCACTGTACGGATATACCCACGAGACGAACTCTTTCATGACGGGGGTAGTTCCCAGGGCTGTACATTACCTACGCCCATGCGTGGGACCGCGACACGCATTTCGCCCTGCTACGGGGCGATGCGATCTCCGCCACTCGTTCCTGACCTGAGTATTTGTAAAGAAGTACTGTATGGACCGCAACACGCTACGAATTTACGCAACTAATTTAACCTCCAAACAAACTCTTTTAAAACGAGGGGAGTTGCAAGGAAGTGATATAGAACCGCCGCCAATACGAGGGACCACGACGGGGCGATACGATCACCGCCACTCGTCCTTGACGTGGGGTAGTCGTGAATACAGAGGACGCATGTACACACTGCGCTGCGTTTAAAAATTCTTCTATAAAATAAGTGAATGTGACAGACGGTATAGACGTGCAATTGGCGTGCAAAACGGCGGTGAGTTAAAGGCGTCCGCCCCCCTAGGGCGCGCCGGTGTCGGTGAGCGGCGGCGAGTACCGGCGCACGGCGGCGTCGGCCGCGGACGGGCGGCTGCGCTTCGGCTCGCTGCCGCCCGCGCTCTACTACGTGCGGCCGCACCTCAAGGAGTACCGGCTGCGGCCGCCGCACGCCACGCTGCGGCTCGACGACGGCGCCGCGCACGACCTCCTCTTCAGGTGCGCCGCGTCAGCTGCTCTATTAGAGCATGTCATTTATTGTCGATACATCTCAATGGGTCTCGCCCACTCGCTACTGCTCTGCGTAACCACTCATTGCACGTGGCGTTGCCTCACCGACACTGCTTGCAACAACATTAACTTTATGGCCTCTGCTACTGTTTGTCCATGGGTGACGGTGATCCTCTATCTCACAAAGCTTATAGCATCGCACAACTCGGCCTTGCAGGGGCGTGCGCGTGGCGTGGTCGGCGTCGGGGCGCGTGGTGTCGCTGGGGGGCGCCGGCGTGGGCGGCGTGGCGCTGCGGGCGCGCCCCCTGCCCCCCACCGCCCCCTCCCGCCACCTCCGCCCCCTCCGCCCCCTCCGCCCCCTGCACGCCGCAGGACGCCACCGCGGCGCCGGATGCCACCTTCAGGTACGCGCCCCTTCCTTGATCAATCGGCTCACTCGCCTGCAGTACCAAGACCACAAGGAAACCGGCCTAAAGTAGAATTCTGAATAAATGAAGTAACCACGTTTTTTGCAAACCTATTTCCACTAGAAATTGTGCAAGAAATTAAAAAATCACAAGATGGCGCTTTATGAGTAACATTGTTATTCTCAATTCGTAAAAATCGCCTTTTTTAGGAAAGTCATCTTTTATGTAATTCTAAAATTTGATACATTTGTTATAACATACAAATAGGTTTTGTTTTATACACTACTGTTTTATAATACATTTTCGGTCTCAACATCATTGAATTTTTTTTCCAATTTTATAATATCTTGATTCAAATATTTACTCTTGTAAAATAATATTAATTTTATATTATTAAAAATCATATTATAATTTAAAATTAACTAAATATTATTTTACAAAAGTATGAATATTATTAATCTCCAACATTTCTAAATCCACAGGATAAGAGGCCTTATTCCAAAGTGTTTATACAAGATTGAGTTGAAGGAATCCTCTGTACCCGAATTGAGTGGGTTGAAAATCGTGAAGGCGCCATCTGTTATAGAGGTAAGTGAGACTCGCTTATTGGACAACAATAAATGAAAGAAAAAAAAATGCTGGTTTTCCTATGTATTCCTTCACTGCTGAGCGCGTGATAAGTCAGCATTTAAAAAGTCTAATTTCATTGGTGCCGGCACCGAGATTCAAACTCGGGTCGCTGTTATTGAGATATTTATATTGAATTATTGCGGTTCAAAATAATACTAAATATAAGGAAATCTAATAGCAATGTTGCATGCGCGTCTCAATTGTAAACGATCTTTGTGGCAGATGGGCGAGAGCGACGTGGAGGGGCTGCGGCTGGTGGTGGTACGAGCGCCTCTGCTGACGGACGGCGCCGTGCTGGTGCGCGCCGCCGAGCACTCGCAGCTGCGCACGCTGCGCCTCTCGCTGCGCCCGCTGGGGGGCGAGGGGGGCGAGGGCGGCGAGGGGGGCGAGGGGGGCGAGGGCGGCGAGGGCGGCGAGGGGCGGGGGGCGCGCACGCCCCTCGCGCTGCCGCCGCCGCCCCCCGCGCCCGCGCCCCCCGCGCTGCTCGTGCCGCTGCCCCGGCTGCCCGCCGACAACGCCAGCTACGAGCTACGCCTCGAGTCCACCCTCTCGAGGGCTACGCACGCCTACGAGGAGGAGACGGTACAATTCGTAGCCGACGGCCGGTACAAGGCGCTGGAGATCGAGTTTATGCCTAAGGTAATCCGCTTGCGTGTATCTGTGATATGAAAGGGTAGGTTAGTAAGATCCTACGTTCACTGCGATCTAGAAAAATCTATTGTGGTTTTCCATTCGGAAAATTAGCTCCCTACTGGAAGCATAGGACAAAATTATCTTGTGTTGTATAAAATCAACAGACATATACCAATTGTACCCACTCTCTTGCATGGAGTAACACTCGGTTTCTGAAACACTGATCATTGTAGAGATTAACTAATCAGCTGATCAGTGTTTCAGAAACCGGATGTTAGTAATTTTTTTATGCGACAATGTATACATTTTTATATGTGATGGATGATTCTGTGGCGCGGTTGGTATTGGCTTCGCTCCAGTGGTTGTCAGTTTGATTCACAAATATATAAATTTATGTATGTAAAATGTCTACAACAACACGGGATAATGTTAACCTGCAGTAAGGTGGCAACTTTCCAAGGGAAGACTACAAAACATCTAGATTTCAATGGTTGTTTGGACTTACCTAAACCCTTCCCCACCCAATATAAATTCAGCCTACAAGTGATGGTTGTTTGCGGCTCTGTAGGTTATGGGTTTTTAGTAATAAATGACACTTCTAAAGTTCACGTATAAACAGTGTATTTAGGTTACAAGCACAATAAACAGTTTTGTGAATCTAATTGAAAGAAAACCTATTAAACTAAACTAAAACAAAAGCTATTAAATTAAACCTATTATTAAGGTGTTTCCAGGTGCGCTCCTCGGAGCAGGAGCTGGGCGCCAGCTCGGCGCTGCTGCTGCCGTGCGCCTGCCTGGTGCTGCTGGCCGTGGGGCAGCGCGCCCGCCTGCGCCTGGCGCTGGCCCAGGGCTCCGCCCGCCTGGTCGCGGCCGCCACAGGCGCCGCTAGAAGGAGCGCCCGCAAGAAGGCCCAGTGATGTATGAGGCATGAGACACGCTTCGGTTAAGTCATGTCATCTCGATGTCACATTACGATTCGTTCATTGGTCATGTGGGTTTTTTTGCCATTTCTATAATATCTCCCGCTACACCCGTTACAGTTTAAGCTTAAAGGTTTGATTAAGACTTGCCCCCCTCCTCAACTCAGAGTCACATGTATTTTCTATTATGGTTATCTTACAAATTTTAAAATATCTTCAAATATGGGTAAGTGTATTCTATTTAAACCTCACTTGATTGATGAATGATTCTTTACGGATATATAAAGAAACCAGGAAAAAAATCAAAAGCACAGACTTTTAGTATTCCAGAACTGTAATTTAGGATAAAGACTGTTCGAGTATTTTTCTGTGTGTTGTTGACATTCCCATAATAGAGTTGATAATTTTGTATTGTCATTATATATAAATTTTCAACTTAAAACCGAATTCTTTCTTCTATGACATCAAACCTAGTGTGTTTTTATCTTTATCAAGAGGAACTTGTCTTTTGTACTCTTAATAAAAATGGATAGTTTCTTCACACAAAAACTTTGAATGTGCTACGGCTGTATACAACAGTATTTAAATTAATATACTACTATTTTTTAATTATTGCTAATCTTAAATTCAATATTAAATAATATGTATATTGTAATCGTATAATGTACTATTGAAATCGATTGTAAAGTCATAATTTAAATATTTATATAATTATGCATTTATTGTATAACACCAACAAAGGTTTGTGATAATTTCTTACAACCAATGCATTTTAAAATGTTTTATTGTTTAAAATAGATAGTGATACAAGTAATTTTCTATTTATGTGAATGATGAATTTATGCAATGTTTTATTTCTTTAATATGAAATATAGATTGATTTGGTGTTTCTGTTATTTGAATTTATTTTAACATATTAATTTATAAGCTTAAAAGTGTTCTTCTGTTACTATATTGTGGGTAATAAATAATTTGGAATGTTCATGATTTTTCTTTCATAATTTTTACCATAAGATTAATTAAAATGTATATTTTTTGAAATTCCATATTTGTCGAATAAAATAAAAATTCTTAATTAATGTCCTAATAGCTTAACGGCAAATAAGACTCACATTGAGGATACGATGGATAGTACCTGGAGGACTGAGCTTTGCTCGGTTTGTTATTTTTTGTATATCGTGTATTTTGGAAATTACATTTACATAAAAATTACTGAGTAATGAAATAAGCATAATATTTTTCGATACCTACATAATAATAAGAAAATATTAACTGGTGTTTTTCTCAAAAGAACTTTAAAAAAAATGGAAAAAATTACAAAATCATCTGGATCGACAAAAAAATAAAAAATAAAGTATCAATCACAAAGTAATAATCTGGAATCGAAAAAAATAATCGTGACACGAACCACGGCTTCTGTTTCTGGCCCGCCCGATTACCGACCGAGCTTTTATACAATTCTTTTTTCGGTGAAATTTACCGTCGCATTCGAATGATATTTTTCATCTCAGTTTTGACTGGGATAAAACGTCATTTTCTAAGAATGAAACCTAGCCAGACCAGATCGATTTTTCGCCCCCGAATCTACGCACATACTAAATTTCATGAAAATCGCTGGGGACGTTTCCGAGATTCCGATTATATATATATACAAGAATTGCTCGTTTAAAGGTATAAGATTTCAATAAGTAATGAAAGTGTGGATATCAACTTCACATGATCCTCCTGCATGAAATCCATACACAGAAATACACTTAAATTGAATTACTTGTGCTGCCTACAGTGAGTTATCAGTCACCAATATAGTCTACTAGCGACCTGCCTCGATTTCGCAAGAAAACCGCATCAAGAATTGTTCCGTAGTTTTAAAGATCTAAGCATACATAGATCCAGATAGACAGCGGGACGGCTTTGTCTTTTACTACGAGTATGTCGTGATTAATCAGAAGAAATTTTCCTCATTTATTATCCTTATTTTGTAATTACGAAGATTCCTAAATATTCACTTTTGATTTGATTCTTCTTTCATGCTTCTTTGGATACAATTTTCTATTTCAGCATTGAAATTTCGATTAACATACAATGTTACAAATAAGGGTCTGGTAATCTTATAAATAAAATTCTCGTGTCACGGTGTTTGTAATCGAACTCCTCCGAAACGGCTCAACCGATTTTCGTGAAATTTTGTGTGCATATCGGCCAGGGTGGAGAATCGGACATCATCTTTCATCCCCCTTAATGTTAAGGGTGGTCCACGCCCAAATATTTTTTTCTACCGTAAAAATAATTTATATGGCAAAACAACGTTTGCCGTGTCAGCTAGTGTGTGCCCAAATTTACACAGGAGGTTCTGACTCGGTGGTATAATCGTTTATTGAAATAAAAAACAAAGTTTTTTTCCCAAAAAAAAATGCCATTCTATTCCCTAAAGAACAGAACGTGTTGACTATGCGGTAGTCATTCACAAATACTTAAATTTTACTGTGCACGAGCTTGTGCGTGTTAGTTATTTATGATCGCGCGTAAAATAAATGAGTTGCGTATAAATCACGCACTTTTTGAGATACTTACGAGTGATTTTAAATATTTATCATTTTTTATATAACATTACTTATGTCTAGAATTTAATAAAAAAAATGGATACACTTAGAAAAGCCACCCTGTTTAAAAAAAAGTAAATTTCTCAATCGACCCAAAATCATTTTGATAGTATGAACAGACATTTATTATTACTTTGTACGCAATATCTTGTCTCGAGCTCTAGGCATAACAATGTTAATATGGCATAACATGGAAAATAATTGATTACAATATAGAAGAAATTTGAGCAAAATCGATTGCAAAATGAATTAATAAAGCTAAATTTATAAGCATGCATACCGTAGGTATATTAATTTTAATGCGTGCTCCTTTTGTACTTGTGTAGTGTATTACTGCCATCTATTGGCGAGAGGATAATTTAAGTGAAGAAAAATGTACGCATACAACCATAAATTTATTCAGTCCTTTTATTATTATTAAATAAATAAATAATCTTAACTACTACTTAGAATTAGTAACATTAAAAGTTATCGATTATTTGTAACAGCCGCCATAGCGCCTTTCACATTCGGCGATAGAGCGCGCGTGATGATCCCATAATCTGGCGTTTTCTTTGCTGTAAAAAAAATTTTATAAGTCACTGTGTAGAGGTAGACTATTGAACAAAGAGTGTAAAGTGTTTTCCTCTTATAGAAAGAAAGAAAAACTATTTATATAGAAAAAAAAGAACAAGAATAACGCTAGCTAACCGCGGTAGAAACACCGGCACTAGTATTATTAGTTTGAATATCTTTATAGGAATTATAATAATGCCTTATGGTCATCAAGCTGATCTAATGATTTATGATAAAAATGATATTGATAGAAAATATGTATTGTTTATAATGATAATATATATACAAAATGATGTTATTGCGAAGGCCGAACAGATATAATTGAATATTTAGGAAGGTGATTGCGTAAACTCTCGTTGATTACGATAAAGTTCACATCGTAAGAATTAACTTCGTGTTTTATTTTAATTGGGCAACATTGCCTAATAACTAGCAGTAAAATGGGTTACCCACTTGACGAAGTAAAGCTCGAAAGCAGCGAAAAAGCTGTGCCCGGAGCGAGCGTGCAGCTTGCACAGCTGCAACTTCTCGCATTCATCTTCCGTGCTGCAACAAACATCACATTAGTCTACCAACAATTATCTTCTGAAGTTTGATTCTACAATTTTTTATGAAAAGTTAGCAAGCTAGTAGACGCTTCACTTGATGCTCAGTCCTATTAAACACTGAGATATTATGGGTACGTTTGCCAACCTTTAAAAAGTGGTTCCCGTTTTCCTCGCTCACCAGATAAACAACGGAAGTATATTTCCACTTCAAGCCTGCCTTCTGTGAGTCTTTAGTACCTACCAAGAGCGAGGTAACCCTTGAACGAGCCATTGCTTCTCTTACCATTAGCTTGCTCGGTTGCCATTTTAATATTGATTACATCTTAATTCGTTCTCACCTTCTTTTGGTCCTAATTTTATCGATTCCGTCGTCCGCGAAACCTCCAAACACCACTAACGGGTTTATAAATCTCTTCCACAGTCTGTGTCCACTGCTCGCTATGCCTGAAACATTTTAATTTAAAAATATAACTTGAATATGAAAACGAGAGAATAAAAGTAAATTTTCGTACTCAGAAACGACATTAGACGCTAACATTAGTATTAAATTATTTAATTTACGTATTACTTGAGTTTACTTGAGAAGTATACGAATTTAATACGAGTTAAGTTTTAGGTAGAGTCTATAGAGTTAGACCGAAATCATAGATGATAAACATATACTGGAAATATATACACATATACTGACAAACGCATAGGCCTATTCAACAAAAAAAAGAAAGATACCATTTTCGTCGATGTCCAATGGTTGGCAACTCGTCTCGCAAACAATCATTACCACTATCAAGAACTTCACCACCGTTTTAAGCGCCATTTTTCGTACGGACATGGGACTAATGTGTAACACCTGTTTATGTAGCAAGAATTTATATGTTTGAGCGCCCCCACTTGTCCAGTAACGGACGCTTTGTGACGCGCGTCGCAAGTGTTTAATGATTAGTTTAAATATATAGTGGTGGTTAGGGCTCGCGTTCAAATTGTTTGAGCAGATTGTCCGATCGAATTTACATTGTAGGGATCGGTGATTTAAATGGAACGCCTACTTAATCACTTCAGTTTCTGACCGACAAAGGTTCTAATATAAATGATAGAAGGCCTAGAAAAAATAGATTTAAATTCAAATTTTATAACGGTGTTCAAAAATTGATAATGTTTGTTTACATGTATTTTTCTAACTTCCAATATAGCAGAGTATACCCAGATTTGTGAGTGCCGTGAGCGACTATTTTTTCATTGAGTATTGTCCCTGTAGGGTCATTTCGGTTTATAGCATTTATCCAGTTGGTACCTTAGAAAGCATGTGTATTAGTTAGTTATATTTTCCTTCGCTGCTGCTAATATCTTCGTAAAACCAAGTGAATAATGAAAGTGCTCAATAAAGTAAATAGTCAATTAGTCAACAATCACAAACGAAGTCCGCAAGAACTGCAGCCTTTGTGCGAGCTCTCTTTCAGATGTAGCATGAAAGCAAAATCTTCAATACCGTATAAAACGATGGGAGTGTTTGTACATATAAAAATACAAAATAGATCGAACCATTTCACAAATGCTAAGCTATTACTGACAACATTCACATTATTGTCATTACATTCAGTGAGTGTGCCACAAAGGGCACTCACCGAGGAGATAAAAATAACATAATCTATTTATTCCAGGTCGCTGCGTGCAGGGTAATCGACGTCTCTAGAAGCTGGTATTAGACGCGGATATATGTGATATAAGATGTATACAACAGTATTGACACTACAATATATTAAAGTGACGTGAAGAAATGCGAGTGGTCAGTATGTTTCATATCTGACTACCCTGGGTTTATTGGCAACTGCTTTAATTGATACATGTAGGAAATTTACAAAGGCATTTCAGCATGTTCTATTCATAAATAAGTCGTATGGGTTAGCGACGATCTGATGATTTCTATGAAGATGTAAATTTTTTTTAACTGTGGTATATTTAAAGTGGAAGCAGGTATTTGTATTTTAGCGTTTAGTCTAACGAGGAAGGTTATCCCCCTCTTTTATCGGGTTGATAAAGCTTTACAACCGTGCCAGCCGCACACTGGATAAAATAAAACAATCCTTATCAAAAACAAATTTCAAAGGAAATTATAGGCGCCGCTCCTAGAAGGCGGTGGCTTCAGACAATACAGAGTCTTTAGAGATTTCTGAACGAAATTCGTAACTCTAGTGCGGAACCGGACACGGCACGATGGCAACTACGTTAGAACGATTACACGTGCAAGTGCAACGACGCTAATACATGTATAATCAGATAAAGATATGTATTTAATATTCCATATTCATTCATAATCATTTGCGTTAACGTTACGATTTTAATAAATCCATACTAGTCATGATAAATTCGCCCCTGGGGGACAAGAGAATTGTGAATTGTGTGAGAATTTGCACCGAATAAAGCCGTCACTAGTCATCTATATCCAGGTCCTGTTCCATCGGATTCTAGAATACCCCGAGGTCATGGGGGTTCCGAAAGCGAATCCAGCGGCAGATATCTTCTTCGGCTCCTAGTGTTGCACGAATGGACAGGCCCGTTCGGGGACATACCGCTGACTCATTTTAATACATCAATTAATAATATAGTAACGTAGTAAATATGTGATGATTATGACGTTATGTTGTCGTGAAACTCATCGATCAAATAACACACGGCACAATAAATGTTTACGCAAACATCGAACCCTGTACAACTCGCCTAATGACGCATTTTTGACGCAAATACCTGTGAATGGCTAATCCTTTGTGCATATATGGTGTTCGTGTCGAACCAAAATAGGACCACACTCGAGGTATTAAGGGTAAACCCTTCATTTAATGTTCATCATTGTTCATAGTTCACTATTCAGGGCCCGGACGTAGCTTATATTACGCCCGAACTATTATTATTCGTTATTTTAACACTTATGTTAAGTAGTTTGCGGTTCTTTTGTTTGAAAATTATTGTTTATGGACTAGACCGTAATTTCCTCCTTCAGGCTAGATGCTCAGCAGTCCTTCATCGTTTTGTTGTTAACCTAAAAGTATGTAATGCGAGCAGCTAAGGAGCATAAAAATGATACGACTGTATTTTATTCCCATTGCAATAAGAGTGTTATCAAGGTGAATATCTTTTTAAAGGGCTTTCTATCACATATCATCAGATTGGATGATGCCAGGAGCCAACAATTAGACAGTTAGTTTTAAAAAAATTATCAGTAGCTTCTATGTGATGGTATATTCATAATATTCTAATCATCAATTCATGATATAAATGACGACCTTAAGTACTGTACATTAAAAGAAAATCACATTCTTTCCGTTAGATTTTGACCGGCCAAAGACTTCAATTTAGTATTAGTAGTATTTTGTTTTCTGTTAGGGGAAAAAGACGAAAGGGCTTGGTACATTGTATCAAAATGGGAAGTCAAAGAAGCGCCCGAACAATGTAACCGAGATCACAACGCGCCAAAGGAGTTTACGAATCAAGAGGAGATTTAATAAAATTTTAAAAAATATAAGTTATCGGGCATAAGTGTATCAGAATAAATAATTGTGCACGTCCAGTAATTTTTAGTCTATTTAGTAAAAAAAAAACATTTTGAATGTCATTATAATCAAGACCGCAGAGCCTCTTGCCGATTCTTCTCTGTTCAGGTCTAGTTTAGTGAACCGGTGGTGGCTTTTTTTGACGTTCAATAAGAGCTAAGTTAAGCCTATATTAAATAAAGATATTTTGACTTTGACTTTGAATCACTAACAAGCTATTAAATTTTAACTTTTCGTCACAAGACAAAATGATCTTGTATCTTGTATTAACTGATGTTTTTGCTTTTAGTCCCGAGACTATTAAAGCTTCATCTGACGCAGAACCTAGCCAGAACCCACGGGTTTGGGCCCTCCGCTGTCGGTAGGGCCGCGCATGTGCTCATGCGTGCGTTTAACTACGACATGTCATCTAAGGACCATCGAAGTTGCGGTGCGGGCCGAGACCCCGATGGCCGTCGACTGTATTTTTAGCTAACCTATAATGAAATGCCAAGAAATCTTTGAGGCCCTGATTTTTTTTTTGGTCAAACCAGAAATTAATATATTTTCTTCAATGAAGCAGCTGAAACGGATTCGTCATCCAACATGCAGATTTCTGACTAGGTACATGACATAGCAAGAGGCCTTTGTTCGGAAGTGGAATAAAAAACGTTGTGGACGTTGGTAATCATATCGTTACTCGATTGATATTTTGATTGTCAATGTCAAGGGTCTTAATATCGGTTTAATTTACTACTCTACAGTAAAAGAAGTTTCTTATTCCGGAACATTCTTTATAAGGGAAGATGGAAATTCAGGCCTCTATTCCAGTGATACTGTAGAAAACATACAGACGAAATAAAGACGATTGAAATTCGGCCCTTAAACGACCTCATTCTAGAACATTTTACGCGAAAAGACGATTAAAAATCGGTGCATAAAAGGGGCTCGGAGCCCAGTGGCTTGTATTCATGGTAGTTCTGAGGAAGAACTCACAGCGAAAAGAACAAGAATCATTATATAGGTTATATAACGTTACTTTATAAAATCAATTTGCTTATGGCTCTATCACCGGAATTTGAAGTAATGGATGACATTTTTATTTTAATCTTAACACTTTATTCTCAGTTCTCAATATATAATATAATCGGGAGTAAGCTGAAAGAAATTCACAGTTCGCAAGTACTTAATATTTGCATCTTATTCGCCAAACATACATACTTTCTTTATCATATATTTTTAAACATAAAAGAAAAGCAAATAATTAGTAATTATAATTAAGATATTTTATTTTGTGGGAATTCCTAATAGCTGCTACATTTTTTTTATGTGAAAAGTTGCTAAACGAGGAGACGGTTTACCTGATGTTAAGTGAATACCGCCGCCCATAGACATCTGCTACACCCGAGGGTTTGCAGATGCGTTGACAACCTTTTTGGAATTTGGGCTCCGGCTACTTCACTCACTAGACGAAACGCGAAAGTATTTGTCATACTTCGACTTCACGCCGGTCTTCTGTGAGGTCGTGGTACTTACCCGGACGAGCCTGCCCATTCGCGCAACAGCCAAGGCTGCTGCGTGGCTCTACCACCGTGCACATACATATGTGATGACGGTTTTATAAGATTATTATCTCAGCTGGGACTAAAACATTAACATACTAGATATTAGCAATTTTGACGGTGGAATCAGATAACTATCCTAATATACTTATACCACCAAAATTATAAAACCGTTAAATATATAGGATTGTTGCTGGTGAAATTTCAGAAAAAAGAAAACAAATGTCGTAGTCAGTAAAAGCTGAATATATTTGTTCGACTGTTTGCGCACTCATTATACGTCTACTATTATTATATTACGTAAACAGTCTTTTGTGTAAACGCCAGGAATATCAACGAAAGGGTAGAGCCCGATGCTATCTGAGGATGATTAAGTCAGAGCCACTGCTGAACTACTGGTTTCGGTTATGCGGGATGTGGGTTTGATTCGCGCATTCCGCAAGTATTGGGAAGATCTGATAAATGAGAAGAATTTGGGTGTTGGTCCATGTGTAATTTTTATGCATACAATTGTTTATTGTTTGCTGTAAGAAAACAAGTGAAACGATTCCCAAATTGGACTACAATTTATGTCATTTACAAATAATAGTTCCAACCCTGGATGTCAAATTTTTCGCAATTTCTGTATATGTATAACGCCTTTACAAACAAGGATAACGTTATGCTATAGATAAGAACCACAGGTGACAGTGATTGTGTCGTATAATTTCTGGAACTGGAAAAAACTCTCTGAAATTTTGCTTATATAAGTGTTTGTGCTTGAGACTGGGCAATATTAGTGCCCATCAATTTAACGTTCCCCAATTATCAATAAGTCACTTAATTAAGAGTAGTTACATGGCATTTCGAAGGGCTGGTACAAACATAAGAGCTGAATCCATCGTTGGGTATGCTCTACATGTAAGGAGAGATACCTGTAGCGATAAAGTTGTCTTAGCGTCAAAACGTAAACTCACCGAAATGTCCAAATAGTCCCCATATAGAATCTAAAAAGTTGTTTAATTTCTCGAGAACCTGTGAAACTGATGATTGTATGTATGGATCAATGATTTGTGTTTAAGTGTAGTTGTATCAAATAGAGTAAATGTTTGATTGTTTATCTCAAAATAAATGGACATCGAGTAAAAAATATACGCTTATAATTACAGTACAAGTTAAATATTTCGAAGATAATGTAAAATCCGCCAGTCCGCATCGAGGCCGTGTGGTGGACAATCCACACGCCTTAATACCCTCTGTACAGAGCAGGTCTTAGCCCAGAAGTGGGACATTTATAGGCTGTTACTTTACTTTTTCTTAGTTAACATTTTATCCATTTATTGCTAGCAATTTTAAAATTAATTAGTGAGCAATATTTTACTAATGCTTATAAACTTAGGAAATCTGGACTCTATAACACTAACCATGTGATGTACAAACACATACGTCAATTGTGTAAATACTGTGAAAGAAAAAAACTGTGTTTGCAAAAGTAATTTCTTCGGCGACAAATCTTTAAAGATAAATGTAATTGTTTCCCACATCTCATCATCTTTAGTGCACCTATTGCGCAAGCTGTTGTGAAAGTTACTCAGATAATTGTGCAATAAAGACAAAATAGCAAAATCTGTAAAGACAAAAGAAAAAAGTTAATAGACTTTTGTGTGAAAAAAATGACTGCAACTATTATATACATAAAAACTTTAAGATAATTTCCATATTAAAATATTTTATTTATACACTCTGGACACATTCGTGATTCTTCTAGTTAATTTGTAGACTTGCCATTCACCAATAGATGGCGTGATAGAGACTACTAAATTTGAAAAAAAATTGCCTTAAACCAAGCAAAACCAAGCGATAAGATTTTTCACTATTAAATAGAAAAAGAGCACCTTATAAATACGATGAATCAATAATTATTTCTTAGTTTATTAATAATTTAAAGTTTAAAAATATTCCGACAGATGTCACTGATGTAAGTAATTTGTAGTGTTTACTAGAACGTTCGCGATTATTCGTGCGTTTTCCCGACGACAGGCGTCGCTAGCGTCGGGACTATATAAGCGTTGAAGTTTGCGGCGCTAGTGTCAGTAATAAACAAACAATTAAAGTGTGATTGTTCAAAGTAACGCGCAAAATACGACGAAAATGTCACTAATGCCGTACTGGTTGAGGCATTTGAGGAATTTGGCGTACCGTGACCCCGTTGTCAGAGCATTGGAAGACCCTTTCAGTGTTTTTACCCGCGATCCGTTCTTCCGTGATCCGGTTAAATACATCAAGCATTTCACGGCGCCCATCGATCATGAGCATCATGGAATCGAAGGAGTTTACTCTGACTCCGAAGTGAAGGTGGACGGGAAGAAAGTGGAGGTGCATCTCGACGTGCAGAACTTTACACCGGAGCAGATTGTGGTGAAGACGGTTGGCAACGAGATCATGGTGGAAGGAAAGAAGGAGATTAAGAGAGAAGACGGCTGGACGAGGAGTCACTTCGAGAGGCGATTCCTTCTGCCCGAGGGCTTTCCCCCGGAACGTGTAGAGTGCCACCTGGACAAGGGAAAACTAAAATTAATAGCTTTCAGATCGGAAGCTCTCGAGGAGAGAAAAATACCAATTCAAGACAAGTCAAGTTCGGAGGAGAAAAAATCCTAAGTTTGTCATTTTGTTTCAGTTGTAGATGGCTTTGTTTACGAAGGTTTTCGGTGATATATTTACTTAAACATAAGCGTTTGGACACAAATAAACCACAACAGTTGGCCCTGGATAAAATAATGGAATTTCACCTTTGATGATGTGATAGTATTACAGAGACTGATTATTTTAGTTGGTTTAGGTTAGCAATAATTATTTTCAATAAAAGCATTTGCAATCCTTCACTTCTTTTATTTTTAGATTTAAGATACGGTAAATATATTACTGGCGTTACCGCGTACGTTACTTATTATTATATGTAGCCACCGCAATATTCACCTACAAGAAAAAATAAAGTTCAACGAATTTTGCAAACAATCGTTAAGTTTATTTTTAGACTGCAAGAAGATTCTCGAAGATTGTAGAGTTGTGCAGCAACTACTCGAGTACTTTAAACTTCTAGAAACACATTGCGTATAGAGTAAATCGCTAACATTCAATCGATATTCAATATTTTTTCCGTCCTAGTGTTCTGCCTAACCTTAAACCGTGACAGGTAGTAAGTCTGTTACTGGTCAACACTGGCAACAAATGCTATAAGCGAATACTCATGGGATAGTGCTATTAAGATTAAATACCTTTATTTTCCGATGTTTTCTGAGTAGCCGGCGCTACCTTTGACTAGCATTATAGAAAAAATGTACAGTTCGTCATCATAGACTCGCTTCCTCGCAAAATTTTTATTTAGTTAATTTCATTTTTCAAATTTTCCTGGGCTCATCGGAAATAAAATGTGGGCTGAAATGTTTCGCGCGAAACTATTCTGTAAGTGTGGGCTTCTTTGTTGCAATAGTGTCAAAGTTAGTAATGTATTAGGTACTTTATGCCCGGCATGAATTATAGTATATATTTACTTATTATTACTTTTTCAGCAAAGTAGATTCGGGGGCGGTTAATGGTAATGGGATGAATGGCATACAGCATGAACTAAGAGTTTTTGATATAATGAATTTATTCATTTAAAAAACACTCATTGTTAGCTCCCTTTTCGTGATGTGATCTATGTTTGTATGTTTCGTGATGTGATTTTCTTTTCAGGTGGTGAGTGAGTTTAGCCGTTGTCTTATTCTTAGTAGATGTGTAGAGTGTTTATGGGTGATGGTACTCACCGTCAAGTGAAGGGAGAGATGTCATCTGTTGTAAATAAAATAAAAACTTGCTTCTTAATAAAAGTGATTTAAGATTTTATTTATTTATACTTCATTTTTACACCTTAGGCTAAATGCTACAATGGGCGGACTTAATGCCTAATGGCATTCTCTATCAGTCAATTATAGTTTATCTTGTTTTAGAAATTTTTTTAGGGTTAGTCGCTGCTCTTAAGAAGCTTGCTTTTTATTGTAATTTTTTTTACATTTACATGCATTAAGTGCAAATTTTTGTTTTACTAACTAAGCTGGTCAGGCGGCCGTGATGGGCGCGAAAACATAAGACGCAGGTTGGAATCCCGCACCGCCGAAAGTTTTTGTTCATTTATCTACAACAAATAAAAAGATTACAATTTAAAGAATCTTCTTCATGTATGTTTTAAAAGAGGAGTGTGCAGTGTGTGGAGTGTCTCTCATACGCCAAACATAGGAAGCAACGAAAATCCGCGTGAAATAGATATAACTGATATGAAACATAACAGGTCAAGCAACTCTGCAATTTGCGAACGCACAAATCCCAAACATCACAAAATTTTACCAACCACAAATCCACAAATCCTCGAAAAGAAATACCACGATGCCATTGAAATAAAGAAACGGCCAAATGTCAATAAAGCAGATGGTTGGGTTCATCGGCTTTGGATTCCGTTATCAATAAAATTAAAATCAGACCCGGGCGCACAACCACTGCAGTACTGCACGATACTGTTAGCGTTTGCTCCGTGTATCGTAATAAAATTAATAGTTTTCTACGCGGGCGACGGTAGCCCGAACTAACAGCGACTTCAGGCAACGTATGACGTCAGTCCGGTCCGTGACAATGAATGCTTTAAAGTATTCAGCATCTGCCGACGGTCTTTCCGAACCGTTACGACGGTACGGTGGGAAACTTCAAGAAGAGAGCATACTCTTTCCTAACGCATTTATGAGCCCTCGGGTGTTGCAGATGTCCATGGGCGGCGGTGATCACTTACCATCAGGTGAGCCACCTGCTCATTTGCTCATTTATGTTATTCGCGTAAATGAAAGAAAAAAACTGGGTTATTTTAATCGTGAAAGTGATGGCCATTGTTGTCGGAAACTGATGTTATAGAAAGAAATCCGAAAGAAAAGAGTATTTACGATAAGAATATTATGGAATAGACAGTTAAGATTGTCAGTGCACTGACGCAGACGCCGGCGGAGTGTTTCGTATTATAATTATCGTCTCAAGAAAAAAAACTTATCCAATGGAGCGTTTCTCGAGCGTCATAATTCAATCATTTGTATGGATAGACAGTCTATATTCGTTATTCACTGTTTTGTATCAAGCATTTAATCGACGCCGGTACGCGTGTAGGTGGATTAATGCATCTATTTTTCCAGTGGCAATTTGAAGGCGTGGTAATTCGGATGGGTTGCCGATGTTCTTGTGTTGTCTGACGCAATGTTTTCGAACAATCCGGCGAATGCTGCTCCATTAAGAAAAGCACTTTATTACTCGTTCTGCTAATTGTAATTATTTAGAGTTGGTGGCAACGAACGTGTTGTTCTCTTGGTAACTGATCAATACTATCCTTAGGCATCCGTTACATTGGACTAATTATACAATTGTATACTATCTTTAAATACGATGCGCCCTCAGAATCTTACAGGACACTATGCAAAAGTAGTTTAAGCCGATTTATTTTTCTTTATTAAAGAAGATTTCTTTGAGTTCGTATTACTTTATTCTTATCAACCCATTCGTGCAACGGTTGATTCCATGCTTTTTTGCTGTGACCACGTTTGTTCCATGTTTTTCACTTTAGTTAATACATTACACAATAATGTTATGATACAAAAATGTTTTGTAATACGCATCATTCGATTATGTTGACAACAATATTTTACGCGCTAAACTCTACAACTACGGTATTGGAGGTAATCTGTCCCAACACTAATTTCCAAAATAAATTATCGCAATAATAGAGAAGAATAATTCATATCTGGGGAACGCATACTAAAGTAATTGATGTGAGTACAACAATAGGAGAATTTAAAAACTCGAATTTATATGAAAATGAGATTCAGATATGTTTAATGTTGGCAAACTCCACTTGTAAAAAATTGGCCTTTGGCAATGTTTAAGTTGAAGAAAATAGTTGTAATAGTTGAAGAAAATACTTCAGAGTCAACAAAACTTGGAATTAAATGTCATTGTACATATTGTAAATTGCTGCATTTGTTAAAAGTACCCTCACTTTTTCCTCTTATGAGATATTGATATCGTAATCGACGTTACTATAGTAGGCTATGCATACGTAGAGCCAGGACAGCCCGTATGCCTAATGATGACTTGTGCATGGCGTCAATAAATTTAAATAATCTCAAAGAATTAAATATTTTTTTTAATTCAAAATGAAATTGTGGCTATTATTTGCTTATAAATATTATTATTTTATGACTGACTTTCTTTTTGACAATGTTTTTTAATAATTTATGTATCACAACGTAATGTCCTGTGCTCGATTTTAATTTCTAAACCTATAGTTGCTGCTTTTATATTTGATAAATCATTTTTATTTTTGACTTGTAACCTGTGATTATTGGCTTCGACAGCTTATGTTTCGGATTCGATAACAGCACTGGGCATATATCTTATTGATCTTAAGATAGATTCAAGATTCTCGCTCTGGGTATCTCCATAGATCTTTGAGAAAGAAATTATGGAAGTTTTACCTATAAGCAACTGTTGTAGGTAACACGTACATAATTTCTTATCTTATTCAACTTCTTCTATATTATTCAACTTCTTCTTCTATCTTATTCTCTTCTTCAACCCCATAAGGATCTCAATGGAGCAGCCGACTCGTACATATTATTATTAAAATGTTTGATAGTTAATTGCTCTTTATTCATTCGTTATTAATAAAAAAGAAAATTTTTCAACCGGTGAAAAAATTTCTTTCCTTGTAAATTGTATTTCAGATTTTTACCCAAAACTCTACCTTGCACTCAACGAAAGAATGTAGAGTGATGTTGTTTTTAATTTTATCAAATTTAATTATTAACTCCCGTTAAAATTATTGTTTAATAACTTAAGGATTGATTTTACAAATACGTTATACACGCGTATACAAAATTATATGGGCATAATGGGAGCTTTGTATTCTCCTTCACCGCTGTCAAACTACGGCTACACCGAAAACTGCTACGAGCCCAGTCTGCTGGCAGCCTCGCTGGTACATAGTTGTGTCGGTCAGATAAGCGGGAGTATTAAACGCTAAATAACGATAATGTTTACCGTTACAACTAGCTGAACGCAACGACTAAGCGTATAAATCGGTGTTATTGAATAGAACTTTGTTCCCAAAACAGTGCTTTGTTATCGCTATTTCGTTTGTGGTGTGCACTCGAAACATTCGTGGTTTGTTTCGTGTTTTAAGTTTAACGGTTTTGTTAAGTAACTTATATGTAGCAATTATACGTGCGAACTGGTAAAACACCATGTTGCACCAGAAAATTCTCAATGAATATACAGTTTTGCAGTATTAATGATATTATAAATATGGCCAATATAATTATAGTTTACATAAATCAATTTTTGTTACAGAAGTTATTTAAAACAAATTTAATATGTGAACAGTAATCAAATCAGACTCCACTAATGTACATAAAAGGTTTTTTCTTTTACCACTTATAATCAATTTTTCAAAAAGCTACCTTGTCCGTCTTCGAACAAAATTCATGCATGCTATGCCGGCATTAAATGGGAGCATTATGCGAGAGTTCCTTAGATAATGAGAAGTTATAATCATAAACTTTATAGCGTAATATGGCTTAATGGGATTAATTAAAACGCAACATTCTGCCTGTTTGTTCCGTCCTTCACGACTAGCAAAATTCATGCATGCTACGCCGGCATTAAATGGGAGCATTATGTAAAGTAAAAAATGGAAAATTCAAAGAGAAAGGGGGGGCAAAAGGGTGCTGAAGAAATAGAACGTTGGGTGGAAAAGAAAAAAAACAAAAAATAAGATGAGGCGGCATAAAAGGGAACCTAGGGAGTGAGAAGAAAGGGCGACGATATAAAAGAAATAAATACTCAGTGTCAATATAAACGAAAAAAATGTTCACAATGACATATTACTCTACATTGTTGATAATATACAATACACTATCGACATTTTGCCCCAAAATTTTCAAAGGATACTAGGGTCCAATTTTGCAAAGTAGGCAGAATAAGTTCTACACATCATGGTTTTTCAGGCATTCATCTTTATCATAATCATTTCAGCCTGTTTGAGTCCTCTGCTGGACATAGGCCGCCACGAAGTAGGATAGTTGATTCCAGATATTGTTCAACAGAAATGTAAATCATTTTTTATAATTTAATTAACCAGAAGGCTTAATAATTGAGCACCGTGCGTGGCATACACTGAATAGTGATTTCTGCATATGAGAAATTCAATAGTCAGGGAGATTGGAGAGCCCAATTTTAGATTGCAGTCGGCAGATATCGACACGCTTATCGCAGAACATAGTCATTAAGCTGCCGATTAGTATAATGGCAATTAATTCGTCAACGGCTGTCATTGGTGTAGAAAATGTTTCCATGACTGTCGCTTAGTAACCAGCAATTGTGGTTCGTCATTTTTTCTTCGATTATTATATGTGCTGATTCGACCACCGTGCATAGACGTTGACAAGTTGACAACATCAGTTTTTTCTGACTTCATCTGAGGTTGATGGAGTGACTAACGCTGCCCGTGGACATCTTAAACGTCTGAGGGGTTTAAGATGCGATGCCAACCTTCAAAGTGGGTTTCCGTTACCTCACTCAGAATCGCGATAGATTTCTACTTCCACTTTACGCCGGTCTTCTGTGCGGCCGTGGTACTCCTTTGGACGAGCCAATTCGTGCAAGAGAAGCTGTGTGGCTCATTTACTTTCCCAATTTTGGAGATAGTGGGCCTAGTGTTATCTCACTTACTGCACGAAACGCAAACGTATGAATTCTTCTTTTCGGCCATTCTTCCATTCCATTTCGAGCCAGTCATTTTAAGCTACGGTAGAAGCTGGAGCTATATCAAAGTTAGATCGTTGACTAAAATTTCTTCGTTTTGTTTTTGTGTTTACTTGAGTAAGAAAAGTCACTTCGTTCTGCCTTCGTTCATTCTTAGCACTAGGGCTAGTTGCTAGCGCACCATAAAATAAGCAATTGTATGTACATATTTATAAATATTTCACTCAGCTTACACAAAAATCTGTCTGGCCTGTTTGTTAATTGGCAGACGCCAGTGTTTCATTAACGATGATGTGAATTTAGAACGAGTTAACACGGCATTTTAGATTAGTTGATTTGTCTATGTATCTTTGTATAGTAAAATGTTAAATTTTGAATCGGTACAAACTATTATCAGACGAAGAAATCGATAATACTTTTAATCCCTTTTGCCCCACTGAGTTTAAGCAATCTGTTACACATATTAAGGATTTTGATGATTAGGGTTTGGGTATATAACATGATTGTTGTCATAGCGTCTTCTCTTCTATCTAGCATCTTTATTATATTGTAGATATGTATTATTTTAGAGTGATGCAATTGAAAAGAGTAAAACTGATATAATTTAACTGTGCAAATACAACAGACTGTATATAAATATAAGAATCTTTTGTGAGAATACAAGTGTTCAATTTAGTGAATTCATCAATCATTGACGAGGTGCAGACTGGAAAATGTCCACGACGGATACGTCTTTGGGTAAGTTAAGCATTTGTGAGCTTTTCAATAATTTCTAACTAGAACTAGGAAAAATTTTGTTCAACAAAGTTAGACATGGCATATTTTGTTCCGCGAGCCGTGATGACTCAATATTCGGGCGCCTTTAATTTAATATACTCGAGCAACCTGAGTTAGATCCCCGGTGCCTTGAAATTGAAATTGTCAACTTTAAGTGCTGAATTATCGCGTGCTCAGCGGTGAAGAATCATCTTGAGAAAACCTGCGTATTTTTGATGTAATAACAAAAACGTATTTCGAAGATATGTGAAGTCCACCAAACAATCGTGAAGCCGACCAGTCGTGAGCAGACGCTATTAAGTCTTGATGTTTAAAGTCAGACCAGTATCGTTACTAGGAAAATATTCAAAGTTTACTCAGTTGCCTATCAGATGCGGAAATAAAAATATCAAACCGACCAGACGTTTCAAAGCAGATGTTGAGACGTCACGTCACGAATACGACAGAGGAAATGCAAAGCAAACGCGAGTTGGAGGAAAGGATTTTTTTTAAATTTAAAACAAACAAACATGTAGAGTTTATGAGGCGTAGGTATGCCAGTGATAAATATTTTGGATTGCACGTCCAAACATTCGATCATGAAGTCATTTAATTAAGCTGCCAGCATCTCGCCGGTTTTTTCAGAGTAATAAGCTTCTGAGAAACAGAAATTTTACCCCGGAATATTTTCTTACGTGGTGTTATTTTTAAAGTTTATTTATAAATAAACAATCTTCTTTTCATCTATGTGCTGAGCTGTCTGAGCTCAGACCATTGGTGCCGTTAATTTATTCTATGGTAATGGAAAATTATGCAAAGAAGAAATTTGGACATCAGTGCAATTTTGGGAAAAGGGCAATTTTTGGTCGTGATAAGTTAAATGAAAACGTTCATAGTGCCAACCCAACGCCACAAAAAATTTACCATAATAGGTATCATAAAAACTATAACACAATAATTATAAGCAAATTGTTTATTATGCATCACAAGTGTAGCATACTAAACGTTTTTGAAACTGGCAAATTACAATAAAAAAATGAGAAAATATAACAATTATAAGAATTCAAAAATAGAACACGTAAATTTTTTAATTTATGTTAAAAAATCGCCACATGATTTTTTCTGCTATTTCTGCGCTTTGGATTAAGTCAACAAAAGAGTTGCCAGGGATTTCAATTGGCATTTGGTGATGAAGCGCCGTGACGCATCTTTGTGTATTCGGGCTTCGGGAAATTAAGATATGCATATGATCACAAACATGATGATATATGTGAATGACAGCCAGCGACTGCTCCTACAATATCCAATATTACCTTACAGCAAATTACTGAAACTGATAAACAGTTTGATCAGCTAATTGTACTGTATTAGGCGTTGGAATGAGCCAAATGCAGAACATTCTACAAGCGCATTTTTTATGTAATTGTTGCAACTGGCTGGCGGTTCAGCTGGTGTTTAGTGATAATCGACACCCATTGACATTTGCAACACCCGCAAGGTTGCAGATACGTTGCCACATTTTGATAAAGTGGGCGCTGGACACTGCCTCTTCACTTCGGTCTGCTGTGTGGTCGGTACTTACCCGGACGGACCTACCCATTCTTGCAACAGCAAAGTCTGATGCGTGGCTCTACCACCGTGATATCTTCATTCGAAGATTTGGATGTTTCGCACGCAATGGATACACCGGTAACTAAACGCTAGACTAGAGATGACTGCTGTCGACGTGCCGTATAATGATATAGGTTTTCGCAGAGGACCGTGATAGTAGTAGTATTCATGAAATCTGGATGTCCTGATATCCGGAAGGCCTTTCAGCATTAGCCAGTTCAGCCTTCCCAGTGAAGTTGGAAGCAAACGAGAGCTTGCTTTAAAAAAAATCTCTTCAAGACATTCCTTTCCCACGTTTCAGGTATTAAGGAGTTAAGCCGCCTCAGCAAGATCCTTATCCGCCAGAAGACCACGAAGATCGCCAACAAGTATGTGGTGATGGCGCCAGACGGCAGCGTGGTGCTGCACGCGAGAGAGGAGTCCGGGATCCTAGACCGGATGCTCGTCGGCACCAGCCGTGCCTTCGAGATGACTCTCTTCGACAACGACAATAAAGAGGTAATCAATACCCAAAGTAAAGTTTTAATACTTTTCAACCGACTCAAAAGAAGGGGAGGTTCTCAATTCGACTGTATTTATTGTTACCTCAGAACTTTCGATTGACTGTACCGATTTTGATGTTTCTTTTTTTATTTGAAAGCTGGTGCCTCCCATGTGGTCTCATATTAGTTTCATTGGTATTGGATCTTGGGCTCCGGAGGTACTTAGGGACCTCCTGAAAATCAATTATATGAATACAGAGCGAGACATTTGAATTTTTTTTTCGTAAATAATTTTAATTATTAAAACATGTATGTATTATAGGGGCAGTTGGAATAAATCCATAACAGAGTTTTTTTTCATATTTGCATTTTCATATATTGATAATATTGTATACGAGTATTGAACCCCTTTCGGAACATAAAGAAACATTCGTTGTTAGCCAAATGTCATAATTTTCGATTTCCATTGGCCTTGAGCAATATTACAGCGAAATCGTTTTATCGCGGTCGGAGGTCGATTGTATAAATTACTTTTATTGCGTGTGAAGTCGAGTTGAATGTTTTCCGTTGCTTATAATATATACTGTAAAAGTTTATGGGCCCCATTAGTCTTTTCATAGAAAACCACCTCTCCATAGGTACTCTCGTAGTGAGTGAGAGGTCACTTGTATCAATAAAATTTAACCTGAACGAATAAACATATGAATCTTGGACAATCTTTGTGAATGTCATCAATTTGTGTCAGTGACGTATTACACGACTGTTTTTTACTCGAAACGTCATATTGATCAAACAAAATTGCTTTTTTTTATGTGAAAAGTTGCCAAGCGAGCAGACGGTCCTCCTGATGTTAAGTGAATACCGCCGCCCATGGACATCTGCTACACCCGAGGGTTCCAGATGCGTTGACAACCTCTTGAAAATTGGCGCGAAAGTATTATACTTCCACTTTACGCCGGTCTTCTGTGAAGTCGTGGTACTTACCCGGACGAGCCTGCCCATCGTGCAAAAGCCGAGGCCGCTGCGTGGTCCTACGACCACGAAAAACGTTTCAATTACGAAGGCAAAGGTCAAAGGTGTAATTAAGGGTAACTGTGGTAAGGCCACAAATTTGCTTTACCTAAGTATAGAGTAAAGGTTTGTAAAGGTGTAATTAAGGGTAGCTGTGGTAAGACCACAAATTTGCTTTACCTTAGTATAGCGTAAAGGTTTGTTGTTTTCGCTGTTCGACAGGTTATAAAGCTGCGGCGGCCGTACACCATGGGCCCAGATAAAATGGACGTGTCTCTGTGCGGTCGGCCGGTGAGCGTGGTTCGCAAGGAGGTCACCTTCCTCAAGCCCGTCATCAACGTCAACGACGCGAACGACAGGCCAGCGTACCGGGTCAAGGGACCCGTTGTCACCACCAACGACTGCGATTTCGAGGTACTCGTTCCAGATTGGCCATTATTTTCCCCTGCTTAAATTAGACAGGCGATATCAGCAAAATAGTATGCAAATAAACTTGGAAACAAGATGAATAGCCAGTGCAAGTTGAAACTGAAACATCATTCTATATAGAGGTACACATACTATAACTAGGGGTATGACGAATGAATGAGTACTGTAAACTTCATTAGAGATGGGTCATACAGTCGCACTTTGTCTCCACGGGTCCAACATTATACCAAGCGAGGCAGCGTGCCTCCATCCTTAGTGGATTTGTGGTTAAGTTGGTGTTAAGATTTATATTTCACATCGATACAATTATTGAGATAAACAATTGCCATGGTAGAACCACGCAACTGCTACTTGTTGCACAAATGGGCAGGTTCCTCCAGGGAAGTACCACAACCTCACAGAAGACGAGCTTTATGTAGACGTATAATAATTTTCCGTTTCCTCTGGCGGTGCGGCGCTTACTGGTTTTAAAGGTTGGCAAAACATCTGCATCTGCAACCCCTTTATACAACAACAGCATTTTTGACAATCGTTTAACATCAGATGAACTACTCGCTTGCCAGTCTTTCACATAAAGAATCATTCGATGGTGCATTTCGTATTCCAAAAAGGTCATCCGTCATGTATAGAAACGTGTGCCATAAAATCTAACGGCAGGAATTTATCACGTTCCTTCAGATATACACAAGGGAGAAGGTTCGCGTGGGCGTCATAGGGCGGAGGTGGGGCGGGGCGGGGGACTCGAATGGTTACGAGCTCCAACTGCCAGCAGACCTGGACGTCAGCTACAAGGTTGCCCTGCTCGGCGCTAGCTTCCTCATTGTAAGCATTCCCCTAAGATGTAAATCGCCAAGTGGTCTTTGTTCCCTCATCGTTAGCAGTTCTTTATCTGGTTCCCCTTTCCTTTTCAAAAGAAAACAGTCGAAGAATTATGTTTTAAAGTGTTGCAGAGGCGATTTTCAGGTATAAATGAAATGTATATCGACCTAATCTGGAACGATAATTTTTACCCTGTAGGTCTTCCACCCGAAGCCATGAATCGGCCATTACAGACTCTGGAAAAGACTCAATTGGATTCAAAAGCCTGCCTTTTTTATTTTTTAGGTCATAAAAAATTCTGAAAGACCCAATATAAAACTCTTGGATGTTGCGATAAATGCACCTAAAAATAGTCTATTTAAACTGCATTATTGTATAAATATTAGTCCCGGGATATCGAACAGCACCCCTGGTTCTGCAACCAATCCTTATGAAGAGAAATAAGTCATCTAAGTAAATGATATTGAACAATACGTACGGTATTTTATGCGATATATTAAGAATTATTATAATTTTAATATTATTTTAAAAAATACCTTTATAACTCCTCAATTTATTTTGTAACTTTTGTACCTACTCAATTATTATCTTTTACTCGTTTTATGTTTTGCTTAACACAATAAATTAATTCGCCAATATTTGTTTGATTCCAGGACTTCATGTATTATGAAAATTGAGAAGATATGGTGATTTATGATGGTGAAGATAAAAAAGCAATTAATCATTTCTTCCAATTAAAGGTTAATATTGATAACTAACATTTTCTGTTATTTAATGTTGTTTTTTAAGATTTCAGAATTTCCTAGTACGTATCAACGTTTATTCTGTAATAATATATCTAATGTTTTATAATAGTTGTAAGTTTTTAATAATTTCATTTGTTGAGTTAAAGAAAAGAAAGAACGAAGGCAAAATATTTATTTAATCTTGTTGTTAAATCTGCAAGAACGGGAAGAGGCGTGGGTTAGATCCTCATATCAGCTATTTATTATGCATATTAAAATATTTAAATGGTACTTCAATACCAAAATTCTTTTAATGTTTTCCTTTTGGCCGCTTCATATGGTAACAAATTTTTTTACTGGGTTAGTAGAAGTAAGTAAGTAAGTAGTTTAGAATGTCGATACAGTGAATAAATTTCACTCAAGAAGAATCATAAAGCGCCTTACTCGGCCACTTATGACTGGGGAGAGTCCATAACTCCGCTGCCCAGCTAACAAGCAGCTTGCCTTCCTGACGCCAGCGGTGGATCTGGACCGTGGCTTTGCCGCTGACCACGTGTCCGCTGTGGGTAGAGAGACCTGCTCATCAATACCACCACTCCACTGCTGCATCTTCGGTGCCAACACTCAGTGTCAGTGCCATAATTCCTCTTGCCACGCAACTCCATCTAGGAGGAAATTGTCTTTGCATCCATCACCCTTTTAGCTCTTGTGCCGTTTCTAGCAAACTTTACGTAGGCGTGTACACTTATTAGCATAATTAAGTCGCATTAGTAGTTGAACTTTGAATATGGTGTACAAAGTTAGACACTCTTGAGTACCCAAGTAGTAAGCTTATTTATGTGGGGTTTTCTTACAGTATTATTTTGTAATTAATGATTTATTGTTGTGCAAACCAGATTTTTGCTGATGATACAAATAGTGGAAATTGGGAACAGAGTTAGAAAAAAGTTGCTTTCTGCTTGCTTGACAACTTTCCACATATAAAAGGGGATAGCAGTAAAACACAATGCAGCTCCCTATAAGAAATGGATTAGGTCTTAATAAATAACCTCTATACAGTGGAGAATTTTGACCAGCAGCGGGAAATAAACGTTTACTCACAAATGCATTCTAGTCAATTTACCTACGTTAAAATTCGATATTCCGTTTTATGAAAGACACCTTTAAAGTTAAGTTTCAAGTAGTATGAGTAATGGCTTATCTGACAACAAATTATCATTTATCCATGTTTAATTCGGGTAACCTGAAATGCAAACAGCATTAAACAATTCTGTGGACCACATAAGGAACCCAAAGTCTATCAGGTCTTAGTTAAGTTATCTTTAATTGAGGTATCAATGTGCAATAAGACGTTTCATTTAAGCCAACGTAAAGTGATGTTTCATATTCATGTACAGAAAGTCATTTGAAAATTAATTGTCATGAGGCGGGTCGCACGTAAAAAGAAGCTCTATAATTAAGTGTGCTAATTACCATAATTAAGTTATAAATTTTAATTTGCATAAGACGCGGGTTTCAGAAGTGGCGTTAAGTGTGTGATGAATTGTTGGAATCAGATATTCTTTGCTAAAAAACGCGAAATAATTTTCCACCACCGAAATATTTTAGACTTATATTGGCTTCGACCACGAATCAAACCTGTGTTATGCCCGTCAAATGCTGCAATTCTAAACTTAAAACAAAATACCTATACAAACGACTGTTTCCGAGCGGTAATATATTCCTCGCACACACACTTTTTTATCCGATATAAAAGAAGGGTGCGCCATTCATAAATAATAGGTCCCCGTAAAAATAAAACCCTTTCCATTATTTGCCATGGACCGTTACAAGATACATCTCGCTTGTATGGCGAACTTTGTCTCAATATTAAGTAAGATACAATATACTTATTTTATGTTTAGTACCAAGTACAATGTACGACACGACTAAATATAAAAACAATTGATTTAATTTCACTGTATTCATAACACATTGTTATAGCAAATTATATATTTACTAAAACTTTCATTAAAGATGTTTTCTAACATAAACTGTTGTCGATAATCTTCTGTTTAATTGTCCGTATAAGTGCGGAAGATCGTATATTTCTTTATTATGAGATTGTTGTCGAGCGTTTGCTTTTTATTATTTTCGTATTTTCAAATCGTGCAAAATTGATAATTTAAAAAACAAATCCACCGCCTTTAGTAACCAAAGTTACTGAAAAATAATTCTTTTACAACTAAAAAGCTATAACGACTGCACTAATTAGCATAATTAAGCTCTCGAGTCCCAACGCAAACTACACTGTTGGCTGGATTGCGAGTGGCACAGTTCTAATGAGAGCGTCAGCTTCGTGTAAGAATGTTCACAAAGTAGACAGCCAGTCCCGCGGGGTAAGCAGAGACCAAAAAGTTTTTTTTTTATGTGAGAAGTTGCCAAGCGAGCAGACGGTTCACCTGATGTTAAGTGAACCGCCGCCCATGGACATCTGCTACACCCTAGGGTTCCAGATGTGATGACAACCTTTTGAAAATTGGGCTCCGGCCACCTCACTCACCAGACGAAACGCGAAAGTATTACACTTCCACTTCCGGTCTTCTGTGAGGTCGTGGTACTTACCCGGACGAGGGCAGGCCATTCGTGCAACAGCCGAGGATGCTGCGTGGCCCTACCACCGTTGACAAAAAAGTGATATTTAACTTACTTCAGTTGTCTCCAGCAATACTTAACAATGACACTTGTAATAATGACACTAAATTATGACACTTGTTAATTATTAACATGACTAGATAGTTATGTGAGTATCCATCAAGGAAAAATAATGATTTCATATATAAAAAAGAGGTAAGTCAAGGATTCGGGAGCTATAATCGCAAAAAGGGTAGAGGATGTCTAGTTTTAGAATAGAATAATAAATTAGAATACTTTACTATGAAAACGGTATCCGTAGAGAATGAACACATTATATTTCAAAGACGATAAACATAATTAAAAACTAGAAAAACCACTAGGATTCAATCATACAATAATAGCTTTCGGAAATATTCCCTTTAACTTGGTAACCACACCAACTGCCATTTTATAGCCATAGATAATTTCGTATCCAAGTTAGTAGTATCCACGAATAAATTCGTTGAGTGTAGCATTAGTTTTTAAAGAAATCTTATACACAAGATTAATATCACCAGTTACATTGGCAAAATGATAAGTGCAGTAGTAAGGAAAAATTAGACCAAATAGAATATAAGATCTCGCGACCGCTAATAGGAACGAATTATTGTTACCTTAACTGTGGTAGGGCCACGCAAGTGTTCACTGTTGCTCGAATGGGCAGGTCCGTCCGTGGAAGTGTTATACTTCTGCGTTTCGTCTAGTGAGTGAGGTAGCCGGGGCCCACTTTAGGGAGGTTTACAAGGTGGCAACGCATTTGCAACCCGACGGGTGTTGCAAATGTCCATGACCGGCGTTTTTCACCTTAAATCAGGTGGATCGCCAGCTCGATTGCCAGTTTCTCACATTAAAAAGAAATGTTTTCTGCCACATATCATTCTTTTGCCTACGGTGACCATAACCCAAGTATGGAATGAACACAAAAGGTAATTAAACTTTTTTTTATAGCTTTCGCGGAAATGTTCTCGGCACGGGCGGAAATTTCGTCACGGCCAATTTGTTCTGGAAAATAATTTCCTCTCATCCCGTTACGGAAATTTGCTTTCTCTAAGGCGATTCAACGGACTCATAAAAAGTTTCTTTTCAAATGAATTCTATTAAATTTATTAGAGTAATAAATCACAGTGAGATAACTCATTTGATTAGCAAAGTTCACATCACTTTGTTTCTTTTCACTTATTTTAAATGGACAATATTCTTTGCGCTGTTTTGCTGCATCTCCGAGCATGTTTAAATTCAATTCAAATGCAAATATCTTTATTCACATAGACGCTTGCAGGTTCTTATGATGTGAACTTTGCGATTTCATCGGAATTTTATATAAAAACTAATACGTTCGAAAGTAAGTCACCACCGGTTCGGAAAGCAGTTTCTGTTGAGAACCGACAAGACACTCAACAGTTGCTTTTTTTTAAAAAAAAGATGAGTTTGCAATATGGTACAGGTATAATAGGCTTATTGTAGCTTGCGTGAGTATGAACAGTATCAACTCCACACATGTGCGTCTTCAAGATATACCGCAATGGTATATTATGCTTTAGCCATAATTTTACTTTTAATATCGACTGTGAGATTATATTATGCATGTGCACACTTTGCCCCATGAAAGACCTATTTACTTTTTCTGGACGAAACAATGCTACGTCAAGTTTGTCCTTATTTCTAGTATTTATTTTATGTCTATTTCTATTATTTAGATAATAATTATATATATTGAGATGAAACATAATGCCATAGGGGTATCCATGAGGATTTGAACTGGACTTTTTTGGATATGTTAAATTAATAAGTGCCAGTACATTGACTAAAGTTTGTTTCTAATTCACGCTGCAACAAATATACGGAAACTTGAATAGAATTTGGAATTGAATGCAGGTTTGTATATGAATATGATATATTGAATGTTTTTTACGCAAGTAATGGTTATTGTGAGTTTTTCAAAATTTCATTGCTAATTTTTCTCTTTTTGTTTCATGGAAAATGATTGAAACTACTAGCGACTTCATTCCAAATATTACTAGGGGGTTAAATTTATGTTAAGTTTATGATCATATTTATACAGTAAATTATGCACAAAGTTGATTAAAATATGAGAAAAACAAAGTCATTAATGTCTACGCGTAGCGTGGTAAATCACGTAGCAGTAATAAATTTTTGAATTGTAAGATTTTGGCAGACATAGAGGGTTCTGGCAGTAAAACGCTTTTAGCAATTTCGTTACGCGTATCACTTTGAATGAAAAACCAACGCAAGAGTCTTCTAAGCAAGAGTGATGGGCTTTTACTGCGATAGTC